AATCAATCATGAACATTTATTCAGATATTGTCTTCGGTTCATTGCTTAAAATGCATGCAAAGAAGAAAACTAAAATGCTGATAGACAGTTATGCTAACCGTGACTTTGCTTGCTACGGCCAGCTTTAACGGCACATGTTCCTGACGCTAGTGAATTTACGAGACGTACCCATCGCTGCTATATTAGATACTTTTACAAACCTCATGGTCAGAACAGAGAAAGGCCTATTGTTTGATCGAAGGAGGTACCGTTTTACCTGGGAAACTAAAGCCCCCAGGTCCAGGCCCAAGTGGTGACTGACATATGACAAAGTTTGATGGAACCAATAATTGTGATTTATTTCTACAGTGTCATATGGAGTATAAAACCCTATGTCTCCCAATGTAACCCGAGGGAGAGTTGTGGGATCTAAAACATTATTGGATTTACACCTTCCTCCTTTATTGATCAATAAAGTACAAGATCTGATTCTGCTGTACAGGATTGTGTTGAGTGTTTACTCAAACTGGGCTGGGGAAACATACATCCAGGATTATTGTCTGTTCATCACCGGCGACCCTGGACACAATCGTGGTATATTTCGAACAGACCCACAAGTCCTTTCCATTTGGAGGCTGAAGTTGGTTCCTTATTCGCACTTCCTTATTCATTACTTATTCGTGTAGTCATTCAGAAACACTAAGGAGAGTTGGAAAGCTCTGAACCCCAAAATAAGGCCTGGACCACCATATATCATATACCCCCAAGTTCACAGGTGCCAGCTGCTCCAAAGTGCGGAGAAGGAATGAAGTCCCTACAAAGGAAGCAGTTATTGCTAAAATTTTGGAAACTGCTGAGATGGACAAACTGGCTATGATATTAAGAGGAAAGAGCAAAGAAGAATTTCAGAACACATGGTCAAGATTTTATCAATGGTTAGAATAAAACAAAATAGAAACTTCTGGATTTCTAACCTAAATAAACAGACTTATGAAAATATAGGGGAATTTCAGACAGGCGATATCTCCCGGTAGGGAACCGATTCTGAACCTGGTTCTGGTCTGTCATTTCAGACAGAACCCGGTTGAGAATCGGTTCCCTACCGGGATCTGACTGCTGCGTTTTTTCCCCCCCTTTTTTCCCCCGCGGGGGTTTTTTTTTTTTTTTTTTTTTTTTTGAACGTTCGGTTTATATTGATATATCAATATACCGGAACCTCTAAGGAGTCGCATTCCAATGGGATCGTTATTGCGACCATTTGAGGTTCTGGTATAGCGATATATCGATATATCGCTATAAGCCGAACCTTAAATAAAAAAAAATCGCTCACCCGCGCGGGAAGAAAACGGCGGGAAACCAAAGCGGTGCATGTGTGAAACGCCAAACCGCTTCTTAGCCGGTTCCTTTCCGGTAGGGGCGAGCCGTGTGTGAAACGGCAGCCCTGTTCCGGTTCAACTGAAAACGGAAGACTCCCGGCTTGAAACCGGGAGAAACTAGGTAATGTGAAATTCCCCATAGTTTCAACGATTAATAAAAGGTTTATAAGGTATATAATGAACATATAAGATGGAAAATGTAGGACTTTTAATTATGAGGTCAAAGAAACTGAAAAAGGAATATCACATGACTGTAACCCCCAATATATGTTGTTTGTATGTTTGTTTATGTCTATGAAATTAAAAAATCTTTAAAAAAAGAGAGCAAGACTAAGATCCATCTGTGAACACAGGAAAAAAAGCCATTAAAACAGAAGGCGGGAAGGCGGGATCGTTGAGGGAACACTGGGTGAAACAGAAAAGGCTCCATGTGCTGGCGGAAGACAGGAACAGGAACAGGAGGAGGAGGAGGAGGAGGAGATTGGATTTATACCCCGCCCTTCACTACCCATGGATGGATCCTGTATTTTTAGCTCAGCCGTTCTCTAAAAAGCAATGGTGGTGTACATGCTTGTCTCCTGCTCTATTTTATCCTCACAACAGCCCTGCGATGTAGGTTATTACATTTATTAATCATCTAATCCCCACAGCCGTGGGGCTCTAGGCGATGTATGTTCTAAAACCATAAAAAAGGTAAAGGTTCCCTTGCTCGAAAGCCAGTCGAATCCGACTCAAGGGTTGCGGTGCTCATCTCCGTTTCCAAGCCGAAGAGTCAGCGCTGTCCGAAGACATTTCCGTGGTCATGTGGCCAGCATGACAAAACACCAAGGCACATGGAACGCTGTTGCCTTCCCACCGAAGTGGTCCCTATTTATCTACTTGCAATTTCTTGCTTTCGAATGGCTAGGTTGGCAGGAGCTGGAACTAGAGATGGGAGCTCACTCCGTCATGCAGCACCCAGGTCTCAAACTGCTGAACTACTGACCTTCCACAGCCTGCAGTTCAGCATCTTAACCACTTGAGCCACCGCAGCTCCAATCTAAAACCATAAAAACATATAAAACCACATCCAGCAGTATATAATAATTAGGAGCGAGTGGCGAAGATTTTTGCAGTTCCTTCCCTTCCGGTCTGCGAGTGCTTTGCACACAGTGTGTGTGTGTAGGGGGGGTAGGCTCCACAAGGAGCCAGGTCCCAGTTCGGGAGACTGAGGGCGACTGGCTTAGCAGAAGCAGAAAAAATCATGTACGTCCACTCCATTTGCATATGCCATTCAGCTCACAGATGTTCTTTCCCCTTGGTGCAGAATTTTATTTTAATTTTTTTGAAACACAAAGGAGAGACGGCCTTCTGTACAGTGCAATGTAAATATGGAACCACCACCCCTGCATGACCGCGCCATGGCTACAAGTGCATTCAAGAAAGAAAGGTAAACAGAAGTAGGAGAGTCCAGAGGTCATAGCAACCCTGCCTGAAAAGGAGTACTCATTCCTGCACAGACCCCATTGCATCCAGAATAAGGTATTTATAGGGGGGGCGGAGAACTAGGAGAGCCCTCCCTCCCGCCTGTATATATTTGGGGGGGGGGAGATGCCAGAAATAGCAGCTGGGGAAGCCAAAAAAGGTAGCAATCTTAGAAAAATTTGCTCATTATAAAATATTAGATCGTGATCCAACAGCACGTTATGAGAGTGATTTCTATAATGATCAAGTGACACAGTAATACAGGGCTTGATTGATGATAGAACTTCTAAGTTCTTGGTGAATAAATTTCCTAGATGTCCTGTCTTATATGCTCTTCCTAAAATTCATAAGGGCAGAACTCCACCCCCCGGGCTGACCGATTTTATCAGGTTCGGGCTGCCTTTTGGAGCCTTTGTCTCAATATCTTGACCGTTTTTTGCAACCATTTGTACCACTCGTTACAAAGATACTATCCATTTTATTCAGGTAGCTGAGTCGATGTCCCTGGCCACGACTAATCTCACATTAGCAGTAATGGATGTAACATCTCTCTATACTAACATACCACCCAGAGGAAGCCAGAATTATAATTGTGAACGTTTTGGATCCCTGCAGTTTGCACTTGAGAGCACTCTCTCCGTCGAGAACAATTGCTGCCGAACGAGAGCGGAATACTTAATAGAACAAGAAACAGAACAAGAAGATCGGTTTTTATTGATTCCAACCTTGAAAAACAAACTGATCCACATATTTTCCTTGCTGGTCCCCTAGAAAAGGGTCGCACTGCCGGCCTGTGGGATGCCAGGTGACTGTTTCTCGTCTTTTGGTAGGATCAACGGACACCGACGATAAGAAGAACAAGCACGCCATTGGATGGTGGAAAAGATCAGTGGTTTCAATGAAGAGACAGTGTGGAGGGATTACTGACGGCCAAGAAATGAAATCCACCTCCTTTCCCCGCTGCTTGACCTAAAACAGGAGCTGTGTCCAGTTAAAGAGGCAGAGCTTCAAGAGGCATCTATGGCTTCATATGGCCTTTGGTGGGGGAAATTGCCATCTCTGGGAAATGTGAATTGAACAGGAAGATATTCTTGCCTTCCATCCTGCACAGAATCCATAGGGGTTTGCCCTGGTGTTCATGCCCATTAACAGGCCAGGAAACCGAGACGACAGTACCAACAAGGATACAGGCTGGCCGATTCTAAGCAGTGATGTTCCTTTCCAAAGAATATCAGCAGATGGCTCAGAGTTGGGACTTCAAGGACAAAAGGTTCCATTTATATCTAGGGGGCGCTTGTCTCTCCCCCCCCTGCAATTGCTGCAACGCAGCGTGGCACTGCTTGGTACAGAAATAGTGTGCGTTTCAAGCAACAGCTGCCAAAGCAACAGACAGCTCCGTAGTTGTTGGAGTGTGGACAGAATGAAGAGACCAGCTCTCAGTTCTATGCCTGTAACAGACTTCGGGCCACAATCATTCTCATCACCTCGTTGGTACCTATAGCAGGCAGAGAGAGAGATCATGGGTGTTAGCAAAGTAGCACAAATGTGCCTCTTTGGACGATGCTCTGCAAACACGGGGAATCCAGACCAAAATTTGGAACTCTATGGCAGTGTCCCCCCCTAAGCTGAGTTGGTGTGAGCTAGCTCACAGTTTTTTAGCCTCCGGCTCATGCATTTTTGTCTTCGCTCAGGAAGGATGGCTCCAGAGCAAACTAATTGATGCAGCAGCCAAATCGCTCGCTCACAACTTTAATGCCGGTAGCTCGCAAAGTAGAATTTTTGCTCGAGAGACTCCACAGCTCAGAGGGAGCACTGCTCTATGGATCTCAGCTTTTCTTTTTAAAAATAGGAAGCAAGCAAGTTTCTAGTCCTCGCGAAGGCCAACACTGAAGGTGCCGGCTGTGCCTGTTTGAGGTGCTGAAATACATATGCTAGCGAACGGCACAAGTTTACCAGCAAAGAGGATTAGAAAATTGGAATCATGCTCCTACATGTGGCCTCTGAAGAGGAAGCATCAAGTTGCACGTTCAAGTCAGCACATTGGTTTGGAAGATTTAGGAACATGGTATACAGGAGAGGTTCTCAAAGCTATTTGGCCTACCACCCCCTTTTAGAAAAAAAAATTACTCAGTGCCCCCCTGGAAATCTGCCTTCAAGAAGTGGACAAAAAGATGCAGTGACAAATCTGCACATGGTAAAGAAAGATGTTGTTGTAAGTAAAGAAAGATGTCGTCGGCCTGAAGCCAGAGGCCAGCAGCAGCCACCACACAATCAGGGGTCATTTCCTGCAGGAGCGCACAGGAGCGGAGCTCCGGCAGTAAAGAGTCCAGGGGGCGGGCACATGCAACAAACCCCACCCCCTGCTCCCAGCAGCCCCAGGCCACGAGGAGCAAGAAGCCTCCTTGCTTCCTTCTCTCCCTCTTTCTTTCCCTCTTTCCTTCTCTTTTATCTCTCCTTCCTTCCTGCACAGATCTGTGCGTTCCCCCCCCCCCAGCTAGCAATCCAAAACAGTCCAGTGGCACCTTTAAGGCCAAGGTTTATTCAGGTACAAGCTCTCCCTCCTGTGCTAGGGCAGATCTGCACGTGTCTCCCCCAATAGCTAGCAATCCAAAACAGTCCAGTGGAGCCTGAGCGGTGGGTGTTGCCTTCTGACACAGTTCCGGTGACGTCAGGGGGTGTGGCATATGCAAATAAGTTATGCTAATGAGCTCCTGCCCCTCTTTTCCTACGAAATGACCCCTGCACACAATAGCTCAGCAGCAACACCAGCCTTACAAGGGTACACATGCATTTGCTGTGGCTGTGCAGGATGGCTGTGATTGGCTGCGGGGACCCTTCTCCATCTCCACCTCCCTCCCTGATCCCAGGGAAGACCAGGAGAAGGCAGGAAAAGGCTGCTTTAGATAGGTTCTGGACTCTTCTTTCTTTATGCTTCCACCCCACCCCCCTTATTTTTATTCAACGCCTCCCAATTGCACCCAAGGCTCCTACCACCCACCTGGATCGTTCCAGCGCCCACTCTGGGAACCAGTCAGAGGTCATTTAGGGGGAGATCGCGGGGGATCGCAGTTCCCCCGGGTGAGGTACGGGGGGCGGGGCACATGACGAAGCCCTGCCCCCTGCTTCCGGCCGCCCCGCTTCCGGCCCTCATTCAGCCAGGAGGAGGCAGGAGAAGAGGGAGGGTAAGTTGCTTCCTCCCTGCCTCTCCCCACCCCTGCCTGCCTGGGGCCAGGGAGGGCCTTCGCGGGGCTTCCTTGCACTCCCGCCGGCCTTGCAGGTCCACCGCCGGGCCCCTCATGGGGCTCGGCAGTGGAGCTGCAAGGCCGGCGGCGGCGGCCGGGACCGTTGGGGGCGGGGTGTGTGGCCTTATGACACACTTCCGGTGATGTCAGGGGTGTGGCCTTATGACACACTTCCAGTGATGTCAGGGGGTGTGGCATATGCTAATGAGTTATGCTAATGAGTTCCCCTAGCTCTTTTTCTACGAAACGACCCCTGGAACCAGTGGTATAGAGAACAACCTCCAGGCAGGTAGAAAATAGTCAATGGCGACCATGATATATTTACGAAAGGAATATCACTCTTTTACAGGTTTTCAAAAAAATAGATCAATATTAATACCAATACATTTCTGTACACTCATACAAGTATAAACATTAAAAAAATTATTCCACAATGTTGACAACACAGTACAATAATCTAAAGTTCTTACAAACAGTGCATTTCCTACTCAGAATGCTGAGTGGGAAAGGAGTCATGGAGTCTACATGGAGTCTGCTCTGAAGAAACCCTATGAAACAGGTGCTATTTGCCTAAAATCCATTGTAGCAGGAACTCCTTTGCATATTAGGTGACACACCCCTAATGTAGCCAATCCTCCAAGAGCTTACAGTAGCCCCTGTAAGAAGAGCTCTGTAAGCTCTTGGTGGATTGGCTACCTTAGAGGTGTGTCGCCTAATATGCAAAGGAGTTCCTGCTACAAAAAGAGCCCTGAATTTAGTACAAGAAAGACACAGAGAAGATTTACTGTTTGTAAGACCTTTAGATTATTGGACTGTGCTTGTCAACACTGTGGAATCTTTTATTTAAAATGTTTATTCTTGTATGAGTGTACAGAAATGTATTAGTACTGGTCAGGACTCTTTTTGTAGAAAAAGCCCAGCAGGAACTCATTAGCATAATAGGCCACACCCAACCGCAGAAACTCATTAGCCTATTAGGCCACACCCCTGACAGCACAGCTCATTAGCACATTAGGCCACACCCCCGTTTTACCAGAAGTGTGGTCATCCAGCCACACCCACCTTTTGCTTCTTATTCTGTTTACCTTGTTTGTTGTCAAAAACCAGGGCTTTTTTTGTAGCAGGAACTCCTTTGCGTGTTAGGCCACACACCCCTAATGTAGCCAATCCTAATGAGTTTCTGCGGTTGGGTGTGGCCTATTATGCTAATGAGTTCCTGCTGGGCATGGCCAACTTGGAGGCCAGCCGGAACTCCGTTCCTGCCCAAAAATAGCCCTGGTACTGGTATTCATATCTATTTTTTAAAAATCTACAAAAGAGTGATATTCCCTCCATGAATACATCACCGTTGCCACTGTCTATTTTCTATTTACTTTTCCCGTGAGCTCTTTTTGGTTATCTACCCTCCAGGCGGGACCTGAAGATCTTCTGTAATTACAGCCGATCTCCAGGCTACAGAGATGAGTCTCCTGGAGGAAACGGCTGCTTCGGAGCGTGGATTCCATTGCATTATACCCTGCAGAAGTCCCTGGCAGTGTCCCCTCTAAGCTGAGTGAGTGTGAGCTAGCTCACAGTTTTTTATCCTCCAGCTCACACAATTTGAGCGCAGCAGTTCACATCCTGAGCAGAATATAACTGCTGTAGTCTTCGAATGGGCAATGGGCAGTGCAAGACCCTGCGCGGCTCCAGATTGCTGCTGAGCGGGGCTTCCTGTGTTAATGAATGGCCGCTCACACGTACAGCTTAGAGGGAACACTGGACTGCACCATATCAGTCTGCAGGAGGTGAATTGTCGTTTGGAATGTTTCCATGAGTTTATAATGCCTTGCAAAAAGGAAACCACCACAACAAGTGTGTGTGTGTGTGTGGGGGGAGAATGTTTATGTCTTTTCCTGCTGTGTTAATTTTCTGTTTTCAGATTTATTTATTTTTAATGTGAAGGACCATTCAAAGGTAGAATCCAGCAGCTGCTGAGGCACAGTTCATGAGGGAGCATTGGTCCCTGGCAGGGCTATTTTTGGGCAGGAACGCACAGGAACGGAGTTCCGGCTGGCTCCCAAGTTGGCCACGCCCAGCAGGAACTCATTAGCATAATAGGCCACACCCAACCGCAGAAACTCATTAGGATTGGCTACATTAGGGGTGTGTGGCCTAACATGCAAAGGAGTTCCTGCTACAAAAAAAGCCCTGGGTTTTGACCACAAACAAGGTATACAGAATAAGAAGCAAAAGGTGGGTGTGGCTGGATGAGCACACTTCTGGTAACATGGGAATGCGGCTTAATATGCTAATGAGCAGTGCAGTCAGGGGTGTGGCCTAATATGCTAATTAGTTTCTGCTTCTGGATGTGGCCTATTATGCTAATGAGTTCCTGCTGGACTTTTTCTACAAAAAAAGCATTGGTCCCTGGCCTCCCCAGAATTCCTGCCCCCCCCCAAAAAAAATCTCCACCAGTTTCCCAGCCTGGAGTTGGCAATTGTAACAGCAGAGCATTCGTGCAGTCAGTTCACCTGCTGCTCCAGTTTGCACTGAAGCCGTGCATACTGGGCTCCTAGCACAGGCCAAGAAAAGTGGAGGGTCACACTGAACCGGCCAGATGAGGCAAGCGATGGCCGGTGGGGGCAGGCAGCCGTCCCCCGGCCCGAATTACCTTCCAAAATCTGGTGCACTCGGATGTCTCGCACAAACTGCTGCACGGCGTAGTCCTTCAGGTACCCGTAGCCACCGTGCATCTGCAGGGCTTGGTTGCAGATCTAGGAAGGAGAGGAGAGGCAAGGATCAGTCGCCAGGGCAGGGAAACTTTCTCAGGGACGCCGCAGCAGAGCGGAGCGGGAATGAGAAACCTGCTTTAAAGGCCGTCTGAAAAATCAGACCGTTGTCCCAGCTGAGAACAAGGCCTCTAAAGTTCACCATCGGCATTGTTTCTAGTGGATTTGGGTGGGCGAGATATGTGTTTGGTTGCACAAGAACAATTTAGGTCCATGTCGGCTATGTTGGTGCATTATAGAGTTGCAAAGGTTTCAATGAAAATGCAAGATTGCCACCTAGTGGCCAACTTGGAGAGAAATCTTCCAAGGTCTCTTGAACACATGAAGCTGCCCAATACTGAATCAGACCATCGGTCCATGAAGGTCAGTGTTGTCTACTGAGACTGGCAGCTGCTATCCAGGGTCCCAGGAGGAGATATTTCACATCACCTACTGCAGGATCCTTTAACTGGAGATGCCGGGGATTGAACCTGGGACCTTCTGCGTGCCAAGCAGATGCTCTATCACTGAGCCACAGCCCATCCCTCTGATCAGCTGATAGTATACGACTTGGCTGCCAGGGCCCTGGAAGAAGAGATTTTTGCCCCCCCGGCCCCCACCTGTGGAACTCCTCTTTACAAGACCTGCTTCTCTAAAGACATTCCAGATGGTTCTTAAGAGGAGACCTTTCCAGCTGGCTTCCAATTGCATCAATGAAGAGAAGAAGAAGAGAAGAAGAAGAGATTGAATTTATACCCCGCCCTTCTGAGCGGCTTACAAACTTTCCCTTCCCCTCCCCACAACGGGCACCCTGTGAGGTAGGTGCGGCTGAGAGAGCTCTGACAGAAACTGCTGTTTTCAAGAACAGCTCTGACAGAACTGTGGCTTGCCCAAGGTCATCCAGCAGCTGTGGAGGAATGGGGAATCAAACCCAGTTCTCCCAGATTAGAGTCTGCGCACTTAACCACGTACAACCAAACGGGCTCTCTGCAACTCACATTCTAAAAGTTATTCAAAATATGTTGTTTGTGAGATGCTTTCATTGGTTTCTTTCATTTCATTGTATCTTGTAGAGGAGATTGCAAACCACCTTGGGGATTTTCCCGTCAGAAGGCAGTCAGTACATAAACAAAGAACCACTGTGATGTTAAGGAACGTTCACAAACATTTCTCACTGCTCAGGGAGTCAGCATCGCCAACGGAAGGCTGACAGCGAGCAAAGAAAGGTTTGGCTGGGGAAGATGCCACACAAACACATCTGGATTAAAAGGAGGTGTGTACTATTGGACTGAAGGAGAAACAGAGACGAGGATTGCTTGGAAGGAGGAGGGCTGCAGGCCCCAGAGAGACGAGAACGCAGGAGGCCAAAGACTTTGGGGGTGGAGGGAGGGATCCATGAATAAGACAAAGCAGGCAGTGGATTTGGATGTGGGGACCTAAGCTGGCAGTAAGGGTGGCAGGCACTCCATGGTGCCCATCCCGGCATCCACTAGGCCTAACGGAGCCACAGAAGCCTCCCCCTGTAACGTTCCTCACACCAGCCACATGATCGACGGTGGCTGACCCTTTAAAAGTCAGCCAGGCACTGATGGCTTTCCCTTGGGCGGCTGTCTGTCTTGTAATCAGCTGTCTGGAAGCCCCCGTGTGGTGAGGACGTCCCAGGCTTGGAAAGGTCGAAGGCCACTGCTCTAGAGCATCCACACCTCCTTCTTAAAGTCTGTGCTTTGCTCGTCTCTTTCCACACTGTTTTTCCAGCTGAACTCATCTGTCAACAATGTGTCGTGTCACTGAGGGATCCCTGGCAGCCTTCCGAGGAAGCCCAGAGTCCCCCCCCCCCTATTTCTTATGCAGGGGAATGGAATGTCAAAGGACGACCGTCAACTCTGCGGGTCAGTGGAAAGGCCCGCCACTTCGCCTACCGCAAAGCACTCGTCCGTGGCAAAGAGCTTGGCCATGGAGCACAGAGCCACGGCGTCCTCCCGGTTCTCCTGCAGGGCCCGAGCCGCGTTCCGCACCATCAGCCGTGCTGCCACCAGCTGCGTCGCCATCTCAGCCAGCCGGAACTGGAGGTACTGTCCCCCCCCAAAAAAAGAAAAGACAGAGAGAAGTAGAAAGGGGATTAAGTGCTTGTTCACAAGGCTTAACGGATAGCCCAAAAAGAAAATACCCATTTTTTCCCCCTGTCGTGATTACTGTCTTTTTCCGTTTGTTGGAATTGCGAGTTGCTTACACTTCAGTCATTACAGAGTTAAATGTTGTTTGTTAGGAAACAGGATGTTACGTTACATAATGTATTCAACGGCGGGAAAGTTTGTGGGAGTTGTTTATCCTAATGAAGTGAACCTTTGTATTGGTCAACTAACATCTGGTTTGTAGAAATGCTTTGATCTTGCATTAATGTATTCACAAGTTTATGGCCCTTTGTGTGAACCAAAGAGGTCGTTCTCTTCTAGAAGCCAAGAGAGATAGAAAGATGTAGCTGTTAGCATATATTACTGAGAGTAACTGCAAGTATGTAACTTTTATTTTATTTCTTTTATCCAAAGTACCATACCCATATTTTATTCTATTTTTATAGTAAAGATATTTTTCTTTTACTAAGTGTGGCTCTTGTGTTTGCGAAGCGGCAGATATTTGGGGCCGACCATCCCGTTACCAACAGGAAGGTTCCATTGTAAGGAGGAGGAGGAGGAGACTGGATTTATATCCCGCCCTTCACTACCCAAAGGAGTCTCAGAGCGGCTTACAAACTCCTTTCCCTTCCCCTCCCCACAACAGACACACCCTGTGAGGTCGGTGGGGCTGAGAGAGCTCTGACAGAAACGGCTCTTTTTTCAAGAACAGCTCTTATCAGAACTACGGCTTGCCCAAGGTCATCCAGCCAGGTACAAGTGGAGGGGTGGGGTCTCAAACCCGATTCTCCCAGATTAGAGTCCACTACACCGAACTAGCTCTTGTAAGAGCAGATAGTCAAATTAAGAAGTCACCTGACTGCTTGCTAGCACTTCCCCAAATTGCTTGCGGACATTGAGGTGATCCCGAGCCAGGAGGACGCAGGCATGGGCAGCGCCCAACGAACACGAAGCTGGAGTAGGAAACCAGAGCAGACAGGCGGTTACACCGAGGAAGACTGTCCCCTCCCCCACCCCCAATAGCCCATTCTTCCTTTCGGCCACTCTTACCAATGTTAACCCTCCCTCCGTTCAGCCCCCGCATGGCAATGTTGAAGCCCTGCCCTTCCTCTCCCAGTCGGTTGGCCACCGGAACGGCACAGTCCTCAAATATCACGGCCCGGGTCGGCTGGGAGTTCCAGCCCACCTGCAGGAAAAGAGGAACCCCTTTGTGCTCAGACAGAGACACTATGCCCTATATCAGCGGGGCACTTGCCAGGACAGTTTCCAGTCATTTTTGTACACGTTCCTTTTCTAGAGTGACCAGTGTGCATCGCTCTTTACAGAGAACAAGAAAACAGGCCCCTGCCCCAAAGAGCTTCCAAAACAAGAGTTTGCGATAATGGATGCGGAAGTGGGGGTAAACAGGTGTAGAATTGGTGTTCGTTCCAGTCATGCGTGCTTTCTCGCTGGCTCGATTCAGTTTATAAACCGCCCTCCCCCAAAGGGCTCAGGGCGGTGTAACAACATATTTCAGCAGGGATAGGTGACCGTGCTAAAGGTTTTCTGGAAAAGGTGGGTTTCCAGGAAGGACATGGAGGAACAGAGAGAGTTGGTCGCTCCTGGTGCACGGGTTCCCAGGCGAGAGCTCGAGAGACTGGTTGCACCCCTGCGAGAATGCCAGAGACCAGCTGCACCCCATTTCTCTTACCTTCCTCTCCTTCTTTCCAAAACTCAGCCCGGGGATTCCTTTCTCCAGCACCAAACAGGAGATGCCTTTGGCACCGGGCCCTCCTGTACGGCACATGACCACGTACACATCTGTATCGCCCCCGCCACTGATGAAAGCCTAGTCGGAGAATTGAGAGAAAGTTACCATTCAGGAATCCCCCCTCCGCAACCAACAGCAAACCTGGGAGGGAAGGAAGCTGCCATGTGTGGTCTGTGAATCCGAGACCTGTGGAACCAGGAAGGCAAGGGAGCAGAGGAACACAGCAGGCTGAGTGGAGAAACGAAAAGATGGAGAGCAACTGGGGAAGGGGGCGGGGAGATTAGGGAAGTGCTCGGAAAAGCAATCCAAAACGATGAGGAGCGAAGAACGTTAGAAAACCAGGGATTCATCTGGTCCAAAATCTGGCTACCCATCAGCAGCAACCACAAAGAGAGGGGGAGGAAAAACTAAACCGACCAAGCAAAAATACTCCAAAGGAAGTTCAGAAAGCTAGTAAAGGGGCCAAAAGTTAAAAACATCAATAGGTATAGACAAAAGTATATGTGTTTGTTTCAAAAACACATAAAAACCTTGTAGGGGCCCAAACAAAGCCTCATAAAATGTTCAAAGTGACAAGTGCACAACAAAGAACAGTATATAACCTGATGCATTTTGGCTCACAAGAGCCTTCTTCGGAGTCCAAATAGTACAGAATACAACATGCAACAAAGTCCCTGTTCCACTTGTAAGGCAGTGAACAATATAGGTCCAAAAATCGAATTTTCCCATCTGGAATGGAATGACACACACACAAGCAGCAATTGCATACATTGGAGATAGTAATAGTATCAATATGTACCTTCCAGTTTAGGTCCTAAGAGTACAAGTAAAATCGCCTTATTGGGGACAATGTCACAGCCTAGTTTGAGAACCCCACAAGTAGGGCATGAAAGCAACAGCCCTGTCTCGTTTGCAGTCCCCAGCATCTAGTAAACAAAGGATATACTGCCTTTGAATGTGGAGGTTCTATTTAGTTCTCATGAGTAACAGCCATTGACAGACCTCTCCTCCATTAATTTGTCCAGAACCAGGGGTTTTTTTGTAGAAAAAGCCCAGTAGGAACTCATTAGCATAATAGGTCACACCCAACAGCAGAAACACATTAGCATATTAGGCCACACCCCACATGTTACCAGAAGTGTGGTCATCCAACCACACCCTCCTTTTGCTCCTTATTCTGTTTACCTTGTTTGTTGTCAAAACCCAGGGCCTTTTTTTGTAGCAGGAACTCCTTTGCATGTTAGGCCACACACCCCTAATGTAGCCAATCCTAATGAGTGTCTGCTGTTAGGTGTGGCCAATTATGCTAATGAGTTCCTACTGGGCGTGGCCAACTCAGGAGCCAGCCGGAACTCCGTTCCTGTGCGTTCCTGCCCAAAAATAGCCCTGTCCAGAACCATTTTTACCGGTGGCCAAATCACCACACCTGTAAAGAGACTGAGAGCAGTGGCTGAAAGAATGAGTTCCACTTCAGAAAGTTGCTGGTTCAAATCCCCTCAGACAGGAACTCATCAGATGGTCTTTGAGAAGCCATTCTCTCTCCACTTTAGTGTTTCCTGCAACATCTTCCATACAGGAATAATACAGGCCCGCCTCGAAGGGCTGTTTTATACTGACCCTGAACATCAAGACTGCTAACTCTTATTATTAGTCCCCAAGGCAATACTCAGAGCTCAATCAAGGAAGAATTTTGGATTATCTTGTAAGCATATTTATTCGAGGCATAGAAATTTCAGTTTGTGGGAGAGGCTGCTAGGACGCTGTACCAGGAGAATGTTCTGCAGCATTCATCGGGGAATGGATCTTTTTTGCGGATGATACGAAGTTGTTCAGGGTGGTGAAAACCAGTGAGGATTGTGAGGCACTTCAAAGGGATCTGTCAAGGATGGGCAAGTGGGCGTCAACATGGCAAATGGGGTTCAATGTGGCCAAGTGCAAGGTGATGCACATTGGAGCCAAAAATCCTAAATATAAATACACGTTGATGGGGTCTGAACTGGCAGAAACTGATCAAGAGAGAGATCTTGGAGTTGTAGTAGATAACTCACTGAAAATGTCGAGACAGTGTGTGACTGCAATAAAGAAGGCCAATGCTATGCTGGGGATTATTAGGAAGGGTATTGAAAACAGATCAGCCAATATAATAATGCCCCTATATAAATCAATGGTAAGACCTCATTTGGAATACTGTGTGCAATTCTGGTCACCACACCTTAAAAAGGATATTATAGCTTTGGAAAAAGTGCAGAAAAGGGCAACTCGAATGATAAAAGGGTTGGAACACTTTCCCTATGAGGAAAGGTTAAGGCGCTTAGGGCTCTTTAGCTTGGAGAAAAGACGACTGAGGGGTGACATGATCGAGGTTTATAAGATTATGCATGGGAAAGAGCAGGTAAAGAAAGAGGTACTTTTCTCCCTTTCTCACAATACAAGAACCCGTGGGCACTCCATGAAATTGCTGAGCGGTCGGGTTAGAACGGATAAAAGGAAGTACTTCTTCACCCAAAGAGTGATTAACACATGGAATTCACTGCCACAGGAAGTGGTGGCGGCTACAAGCATGGACGGCTTCAAAAGGGAATTAGATAAGCATATGGAGCAGAGGTCCATCAGTGGCTATTAGCCACAAGGTATAGATAGGGACTCTGGGGCAAGTGATGCTCTGTCATCTTGGTGCTTGGGGGGGGGTCAACAGTGGGAGGGCTTCTAATGTCCTGGCCCCACTGGTGGACCTCCTGATGGCACTGGTATTTCTGGCCACTGTGTGACACAGAGTGTTGGACTGGATGGGCCTTTGGCCTGATCCAACATTGGCGTCTCTTATGTTCTCTTAATTAATAACAGTACTATGTAAGACATTTTGTAACATGATCATTAGCAGAGATGAGAAATCCTGCCCTATGGTCTCATTAGCATTTTTGGCCATAATTTCCACCTCTGAGATGCTTGCCACAACCAATGCTCCCTCTAGGCTGTGGAGTCTTGTGAACAAAAATACCCCTTTGTGAGCTACTGGCATTAAAGTTGTGAGCAAGTGTTTTGGCTACTGCATACATTAGTGTGCTCTGGAGCTCTCTTTCCTGAGCTAAGAAAGAATGTGTGAGCCAGAGGCTAAAAATCTGTGAGCTAGCTCACACTAACTCATGTACGATCACACCTCCCTTTGAAGCTGCAGGTGCAGTCCGTCAGTGTGTGATCAGACGCAACTGCGGGTGAGTCTTTTTTTGTGTGCTGTTTTCCCCCCATGCACTTAAATGAGGAATTGATTAATCGCACCTCTGCACTGAGGGCTCCCTATGGAGTTTGCAATGATGCACATACTGCGAAGGGGGGAAAAAACAATGGCATGGAGTTGGGATGGCCTGATCAGACCATCCCAACGGCATGAGAGTGCGCTGGAGCGATCAGACACCGGAAAGTCCGTCCGTGGCTCATCACAACCCGTCTACTACCAGGTTTTCCCCGGCATTTTTTAATTCCGGTTCTGCGGCGGAGCAGAACGGGTTGCTGACAGCTGCGTGGCACTTCCCAGATGTTGCTGTCTGATCGTGCCCTTTAAATCTGCCCGGCATTCGCACCTATGCCGGGTCTAATTGTGCGTATGATCGCAGTCTGTACCAACTAGAACGCCTTGGAGGAAGGATGGGATTCAAACATACTAATCTAATGGATCCATCCCACCGAGACTCTTGAACTCAACTAATCCTGAGATGCTACCTTTGCCTACCTCAGCCAGTAAACCATTTCTCTGATAATGAGACAATCTAAAATGAAAACGTTTTGGTCGCCATAAGTCAGAACTGAAGTAATAGCACCTAACACATACACACCTCTGTTATTTATTTATTTTTTTCACATTTATGTGCCCTAGATCAAGAGGGGTAGCTGTGTTAGTTTGTCTGTAGCAGTAGAAAAGAGTACGAGTCCAGAAGCTCCTTAGTAAAGGTAAAAGTTCCCTTGCTCGAAAGCCAGTCAAGTCCGACTCTAGGGTGGCGGTGCTCATCTCCGTTTCCAAGCCGAAGAGCCAGCGCTGTCTGAAGACGTTTCCATGGTCATGTGGCTGGCATGACTAAACACCAAGGTGCATGGAACGCTGTTACCTTCCCACTGAAGTGGTGCCTATTTATCTACTTGCAATTTCTTGCTTTCGAACTGCTATGTTGGCAGGAGCTGGAACTAGAGTCGGGAGCTCACTCCGTCTTGCGGCACCCGGGTCTTGAACCGCTGAACTACCGACCTTCCACAGCCTGCAGTTCAGCGTTGTAACCACTTGAGCCACCGCAGCTCCCAGAAGCTCCTTAAAGACTAACAAAATTTGTGTTCCCTCTAAGCTGCGGAGTCTTGTGAGCAAGAATTCTACTTTGTGAGCTAAAGGCCTTAAAGTTGTGAACGGGCGATTTGGCTGCTACGTACATTAGTTTGCTCTGGAGCCCTCCGTGCTGAGCCAAGACATAAATGTGTGAGCCAGAGGCTAAAAAACTGTGAGCTGGCTCACACTAGAGGGAACACTGGTGTGAGCTTTCGTGAGCCACTGCTCGCTTCTTCAGGTACAACCCTGTCATGCCCGAACCTGGATGTTCCACTTGCAACCAGCTGGGTGACCTTGGGTCAGTCACAGCTCTCTTCGAGCGCTCTCAGCCTCTACCTCAAAGGGTGTCTGTTGTGAGGTGAGGAAGGGAATGAGATTGCTGCTCTGAGACTCCAAGTGAACGGTGGGGTATAAATCCAACTGTTCTCCTTCTTGGCTATCAATCATAGCTTAGATTTCTCAACTAACCTTGAGCCAGTTGCACTATTTCAGCCTAACCTACCTAATGTAAGTGGGTGAGTGGAGGGGGAAGCAAGGCTCTTCTCTCCGGAAGAATTTGACCCACAGTTGCACGATCACCAAGGCGCAAGGAACGCTGTTCCCACTGAAGCAGTACCTATTTATCCACTTGCAATTTCTTGCTTTCGAACTGCTAGGTTGGCAGGAGCTGGAACTAGAGACGGGAGCTCACTCCATCATGCGGCACACTCAGGTCTCGAACCGCTGAACTACCGACCTTCCACAGTCTGCAGTTCAGCGTCTTAGAACCTTACAGGGTCGCATAAGTCAGCTGTGACTTGGTGGTATTTTACACACACACTCACCCCTCTGTCGTGATCAATACCTCCTTAGTTCTCAGGGTCTGGAAATGGACAGAGTGCACCTTCCCCCAACCCCACCCCATCTGTCTCACCTGGCTCGGTCAGGCAGTAAGAAGCAAGCTTCTCCATGTTGCAAAGTGAGGGGCAAAACTTGTGCCTCTGTTCTTCGTTCCCAAAGGTGTCAATCATCCAGGCGCACATGCTGCAGGAGCAAAACAAATACACTGGAAGAAGAGCCACGGTCAACACAAGTGCATCAAAAAAATCAGAAGGACTGTAAGAAGAGACGCCAATAAAACGTCAGATGTTATTTTTTTTTCAATTCTTATAAGGACACACGTTTTTACGTAAGTAATTTTACAAATCCATGTACAGAATCTTAGTATGAGAAATGCCATACCAAAATCTAAGTGTATACCCAAGTGAAAACCTGTACAAATCCTATCACCAAAATTCTCAAGTCCAAATACTCTCACGGAGATTCCGGATTAATTCTTTGTTTCAAATGTCTTCTTCAAAGACGGACAAGTGTGATCTTCAATGCTGGATTATTATGTAAGCTGATATTAGTACTTTCCAATCATAAATTTCAAACGCCACCAAGGTTGGAAGGTCACAAGCAAAGGGTTTCATAATGGGCTAAACCTCATGTCGCCATTGGACACGTACACCATGGGAGTACCATCTGGAACTGCGGTGATACCCTCTTGGACTTAGGATACTAATAATGGATTGAGTACTGTGGTTTTAGTGTTTGGATGTTTTTACTACGTTTTTATATGTTTTTACCAATGTTCCCTCTAAGCTGTAGAGTCTAGTGAGCAAAAATTCTACTTTGTGAGCTACTGGCATTAAGGTTGTGAGTGAGCAATTTGGTTACTGCATAAATTAGTTTCTTGAGCTAGGACAAAAATGTGTGAGCTGGAGGCTAAAAAACTGTGAGCTAGCTCACACTAACTCAGCTTAGAGGGAACACTGGTTTTTACCTATGGCATGGCTAATGACCTTGCCCCTGTTAGCCGCCCTGAGTCCACTGGGGAGGGCGGCAGGCCTATTTTTGGGCAGGAACGCACAGGAACGGAGTTCCGTCTGGCTCCCAAGTTGGCCACGCCCAGCAGGAACTCATCAGCATAATAGGCCACACCCAACAGCAGAAACTCATTCGGATTGGCTACAATTAAGGGTGTGTGGCTTAATATGCAAAAAACCCTGGGTTTTGACAACAAACAAGATAAACAGAATAAGAAGCAAAAGGTCGATGTGGCCGGATGACCACACTTCTGGCAACATGGGGGTGTGGCCTAATATGCAAATGAGCTGTGCTGTCAGGGGTGTGGCCTAATATGCTAATGAGTTCCTGCTGTTGGGTATGGCCTATTATGCTAATGAGTTCCTGCTGGGCTTTTTCTACAAAAAAAGCCCTGGAGGGCGGGATACAAATGTGAAAAATAAATAAATAAATAAATGTTGACAATGAGAATAATCTCTATCGTTCCAAAACTGGTAAAAGTAGTAGCAAAACAGACAGTGTCACGGAGGCAACCCAACTTGGATGGGAAACCACCGAGGAAGCCCAGGGTTGCTATGCAGAGGCAGGCAAGGGCAAACCCACCTCCGCTTGTCTTTGACCTTGAAAACCCTACAGGTGCCTGTTTTCCAACCCGCCTCCCCTCCATACTCACTTGTGGATACTGATATAGGCTGTGGTGCTGACACATCCTGTTGACAGGGCCTCGAAGATGATGGAGGTATCCAGCCGGGACAATCCCGAGCCCCCCACATCTGGCCGCACATAGATCCCACCAAACCCTAGCCGGGATGCTTTCCTCAAAGTTTCCACCGGGAATATTTCCTGTTGAAGTAGAGAAAGGTGAATTGCAGACGCTCTCAAACAAGATTTGGTCATTAGGGGTCTTGTGAAATGCTCCCTCTAAGCTGTGGAGTCTTGTGAGCAACAAGTCTACTTTGTGAGCGACCGGCATTAAAGTGGTGAGCGAGCGATTTGGCGGCTGCGTAAATCAGTTTGCTGTGGAGCCGTCCCTTCTGAGCGAAGACAAAAATGTGTGAGCTGGAGGTTAGAAACTGAGCTAGCTCACATTAACGCAGCTTAGAGGGAACACTGGATATGACTGCTTTTCTTTTTGAGATTTTGGCTGTTCTATACTTGAGTTATTTATGGTGTAGTGGTTAGGAGCGCGGACTCTAATCTGGGAGAATCAGGTTTGATTCCCCACTCCTCCACTTGCACCTGGCTGGATGACCTTGGGCAAGCCTTAGTTCTGGCACAGCTGTTCTTGAAAAAAAGAGCCGTTTCTGTCAAAAGCTCTCTCAGCCCCACCTACCTCACAGGGTGTCTGTTGTGGGGAGGGGGAGGGGAAGGGAAAGGAGCTTGTGAGCCACTCTGAGACTCCTTCAGGTAGTGAAGGACAGGGTATAAATCCAATCTCTTCTCTTCTTCTTCTTTGTTCTTGTTGAATTAATAGTTCAATAAAGCTGCCCTTAGTTTATACCATTTACCTGTGTCAGTCTCTTTCTTCCGACTAAGCATGCAAAGTCTGGTGTAGTGGTTAAGTGTGTGAACTCTAATCTGGGAGAACCGGGTTTGATTCCCCCACTCCTCCACTCGCACCTGGCTGGATGGCCTTGGGCAAGCCATAGTCCTGTCAGAGCTGTTCTTGAAAAAGAGTGGTTTCTGTCAGGGCTCTCTCAGCCCCACCTACCTCACAGGGTGTCTGTTGTGGGGAGGGGAAGGGAAAGGAGTTTGTCAGCCGCTCTGAGACACCTTTGGGTAGTGAAGGGTGGGGTATAAATCCAATCTCTTCTACTCCTTATATTTCAGCGCCACATAAAATACAGATGCAGTCAATACACATGCTGCTGCTATAGGGTTATTTGGCAGAATAACTGTCAAGATTTAGGGAAAGTTGACACTGAACAGATAATGTCTGTAATGCTATTCTTGTTTCCGAGCTGCTACTCAGCCCCGATCAAATTATTGATATTTACTCAACCGTCTGGTTTGTTAACAATTCTATTTGAAAAATTAAAAATCAAATGAATAGACTCAGTGAAAGACATTGAGGCCCTGACTTGGATGGCCCGGGCTACCCTGATCTCATCGGGTCTCAGACGTTCAGCAGGGTCAGCCCCAGTTCAGACTCGGACGTCTATTCAGGGCGGCTACGCAGAGGCAGGCAATGGCAAACCACCTCTGCTCCTCTCTTGCCCTCAAGACGTCATCATACGTTGGCTGCTACTTGAGGGGACGTCACACCACCACAGAAATTTAAAACGCCCACCAACACCTCTTCTAGCACCTGCCAAGTGTTTTAAGAAAGGGTGCGGTGCCTCCTTCCTCAGCTGAGACGAAAATGTGTGAGCCAGAGGCTAAAAAACGGTGAGCCAGCCCACGCTAACTCAGCTTAGAGGGAGCACTGACTGCAACTGAATTTGCTGAATTGCAACTGAGAACGAAGCTCAAGACAGTGCTTCCTCCTGAACTGAATCAAGACCTAGGTTTCCTGTCTCAGTACCAATGTTTATTTCTCCACACCTATGACCCCTCTGCATATCACACCTAATCCAATCATGCCTGCTATTGTCCTTTGGTGTCTGAAATCACTTCTCTCTCCAAGATATGACAGATGGGCTCAGATTCTAGGTGTATCACGAAAGCTCATACCTTCCCACAAGTTTTGTTAGTCTTCAAGATGCTACTGGACTCTTGCTCTTTTCTACTGACATTTTGTGGTTGGCTTAGCCTCCGCCATGGTGCCAGAATTCCAAAGGCGAGGCGCTTCTGCCATCACTAGTTGGGTGGCATGAAGCTGGCCGCTGCCTGCTCTTGCTGACGCCTTCCCTCTAGGGGGTGGGGCTGGGGGCACCTCAAGGATGGGCCTGCTCTGACCCTTAGACAACACAGTCTGCCCCGCTCCTGCAATGCTTTCTATCTCCCAGAGATTGCTGGAAGGGTTGGGACATTTTGGGCAAGTTTCCAAATGTGTGTGTGTGTGTGTTTAAAACCCCCCCGCCCAGTTAATCAGATAATCTTTTAAATTCATTCTTCAACCAGCTCAGCATTTATTTGACTAAACCTTACAGGACCTGATAAGATAGAACATTTCAGCACAGGTGCTTTTTGGAGCTACTGAAAGAAATGTCCAAGAGCGGTTGTCTACGAACACGTGGCCCAATGTGGGTCACGCTGCTGATATTCCTGTTGTTTTTCCTTCCTTTCTTTAAAATCAACAAAGGTTTATTCAAGGTTTTCAACATGTAGCAAGGATACAAGACTATAACAACAACATGATGAGAAGAGCAAAAGGAATAACAACAAACATCTGTTAACATTATCTAAATACTTAAGGAGGCATCATCATGCTCATTAACATAACTTCTATCGATGGGTTAGTCGCTTTAGCCTATATGTTACTTTAAACAATTCTATTTTCAGACACAAAGCCAGTATTTATCATTAGCCAAAGAGGGAACCACTTCCTTTTCTGAGAGAAAATGAATGATTGGAAACCACTTACATACAAATGGTGTTTGATAATCCTCGTTAGTGTGATTAGCTATGCCATCTGCTATGTTTCCCATAATAAATTGCATCCAAAGCTTATCATACCACAGGTCTAATGACGGGCCTGAGACTGATTTCCATCTAGCGGCGACAGTAATTCTAGCTGCAGCCAATAATAACGAGATTGTTTCTGTCATTTGTTTTTGGGGAAGAGACTCCGGCCACGCTTCAAGTAATATTAATTCAGGATTAAAAGGTATCGCCAGACCAGTTATCTGTCTGATAGCCGTTGTTATGTCAACCCAGAATTTTTGGATACGGGGGCATTCCCACCAACAATGGCAGAATGTCCCAGGAAGACCACAGCCTTTCCAGCATAGTGGGCTGGTTGTTCTATTTATGTTGTTCAATCTTTGGGGTGTATAGTACCATCGAGTCTTTATTTCAACAAACTGAGAATATTAAAAACTTTTGATTTGTTTGATGGGGCTTGCCACACCCTTTGCCAAAATGAATCTGAGAGTTCTTTACCAAGATCTTCTTGCCATTTCTTTTGAAAATTGAATTGTTCTGCCTTAATATCTCATAGGCCCTGGTCACACGGGCCGGATATTGCGGGGATATTGCACTGGCAAGTGATGCTCTGTCTTCTTGGTGCTTAGGGGGGTCAACAGTGGGAGGGCTGCTAGTGTCCTGGCCCCACTGGTGGACCTGATGGCACTGGTATTTCTGGCCACTGTGTGATACAGAGTGTTGGACTGGATGGGCCTTTGGGGGGGAGGCGTGGCTGTTTGCCCCGGAGCGAACTACCGCACGGCAGCCGGATCAAACGTCCCACCGGACATCCCGCCAACATCCCGTGGTTGGGGGAAGGTGCCGATCATACCTCACTCCTACAGTGCGGCAAAGAAGTGGTGCCGTGGGGGTTGTGTTGTTTTTTTAACCCAAGTGTTCGCATGTGCCGTTGGATGCTTGTGCACACCCGTGGAGACTTGACCAAAAAAACCCTTTTCGCGACGGGACATGGGCAGGCGCAGGATGCCACGAGCTAACATTGGAAACGTGATCTGACGCCCGCCCTTGCCCCGCGGTTTCCGGAAATTAGTACCTCGGAGGCACTAGTTTTTTTACCGCGCATCTTCGGAGTGAAGCCTTGGGTGAGCCACGGGAGCTCTATGCTTCCCAGATGTGGCGGTGAGATCGCGCCCGGAAAATCCGCCTATCTTCCGTCTCTCTAGTGTGCCTAATGCTCCATGTGACCGGGGCCATAGTAAGATTTGTTGTATGGAGGAAACTAAACCCCTTTGATTCACCATCATAGTTTTTGATGAGTGATTCAAACTCTGATAAATGTGAAAAAGATGTGCCTGTTCGCCTGAGTTTCTCTACAACACCTCTAGCTTGGAGATATCTAAACCAATGAATTCGTATTTGCGCTTTCCTTTCCAATCGGTCTTTCTCCAGCACATTCCCTTTATATGTCCAATCTATAGGACGGGCTATTCCTGCTCTAAACCACTGACATATGGTCTTGTTTTTCCTTCCAGGGACACTGCTTCTGTGCAACTCGAATGATAAAAGGGTTGGAACACTTTCCCTATGAGGAAAGGTTAAGGCGCTTGGGGCTCTTTAGCTTGGAGAAACGACAACTGAGGGGAGACATGATTGAGGATTATAAGATTATGCATGGGAAAGAGCAGGTAGAGAAAGAGGTACTTCTCTCCCTTTCTCACAATACAAGAACTCGTGGGCACTCCATGAAACTGCAGAGCGGTCGGGTTAGAATGGATAGAAGGAAGTACTTCTTCACCCAAAGATTGATTAACACATGGAATTCACTGCCACAGGAGGTGGTGGCGGCTACAAGCATGGACGGCTTCAAAAGGGAATTAGATAAGCATATGGAGCAGAGGTCCATCAGTGGCTATTAGCCACAAGGTATAGATAGGGACTCTGGGGCAAGGGATGCTCTGTCTTCTTGGTGCTTGGGGGGGGGTCAACAGTGGGAGGGCTTCTAATGTCCTGGCCCCACTGGTGGACCTCCTGATGGCACTGGTATTTCAGGCCACTGTGTGACACAGAGTGTTGGACTGGATGGGCCTTTGCCCTGATCCAACATTGGCTTCTCTTATGTTCTTATGTTCTTAATATGGATCGTCCATTCAGCTGACCTAGTTGATAAGAACTGCCTTCCTGGAGCTGACGGAAGGTCCATCTAGTCCGGCGTCCTGATTTTCACAGCAGCCAATCAGATGTCCACAAGCAGAGCAAGAAGACGATCCATCACTTTCTGCTGCAGTTGCTCCCTGCGACGGGCCTTAAATCTCAGCTTCATCTATTGCGAGTGCTCTCCCTCCCCGATAATTAACAAACTAAAGGTTTCATTGCTAAATCAATTGAACTAATTACATTTTGCAGGTGTACTCTGGATACTTCCTTGTGAAGGAATAGCATGGGAGAAAGTGCAGTGAAGGGCAACTAAAACGGTTAAGGGGATGGGACACCTTCCCTATGGTCAAAGAGGTCAGGGCTCTTTAGTTTGGAGAAATGACAACTCAGGGGTGACACAACCAGGGCTATTTTTGGGCAGGAACGCACAGGAATGGAGTTCCGGCTGGCTCCCAAGTTGGCCACGCCCAGCAGGAACTCATTAGGATTGGCTACATTAGGGGTGTGTGGCCTAACATGCAAAGGAGTTCCTGCTACAAAAAAAGCCCTGGGTTTTGACAACAAACAAGGTAAACAGAATAACAAGCGAAAGGTGGGTGTGGCTGGATAACCACACTTCTGGTAACATGGGAGTGCGGCCTAATGTGCTAATGAGCTGTGCTGTCAGAGGTGTGGCCCAATATGCTAATGAGTTCCTGTTGTTGGGTGTGGCCTATTATGCTAATGAGTTCCTGCTGGGCTTTTTCTACAAAAAGAGCCCTGGACACAACAGAGGTTTAGAGAAGGTAGAGAAAGAAGTCCTTTTCTCACAATACAAGAACTCATGGGCACTCAATGAAATTAATGAGCAATAGGCTTAGAACAGACAAAAAGGAAGTACTTCTTCACCCAAAAGAGGGATTAACACGTGGAACTCACTGCCACAGGAAGTAGTGGCAGCTGCAAGCACAGATTGGATTGGATACACATATGGAGGGGACTGGATAAACATATGGAGCTATTAGCCACTAGGTATAGATGGAACACTCTTTCTGGGGCAGGGATGCTCTGTATTCTTGGTGCTTGGGGGGGGCAACAGTGGGAGGGCTTCTGGAGTTCTGGCCCCGCTGGTGGACCCCCTGATGGTACCTGGATTTTAGCCACTGTGTGACACAGAGTGTTGGACTGGATGGGCCTTTGGCCTGATCCAACATGGCTTCTCTTACGTTCTTATGTCTGGGACAGGGATGCTCTGTATTCGTGGTGCTGGGGGGGGAACAGTGGGAGAGCTTCTGGAGTTCTGGCCCCACTGGTGGACCCCCTGATGGTACCTGGATTTTAGCCACTGTGTGACCCAGAGTGTTGGACTGGATGGGCCATTGGCCTGATCCGACATGGCTTCTTGGCAGCTCTGCCACCAGCTTTGTTTCGGAATTCTATCGCTCTAGCCCTGTTACCTTGCTCATCGGATGTCCCATCCTGCTAAATGAGCTGGCTTGCCCTGTGCAATCCACCTCAAGTCTCACTGAGAAAGGCGGAACAGAAAGAGCATAAATAAAATGTTGTTGTGTGACCGGAGATGCATCCTCACCTTTTCATCCCATTCGGCCATATGAGGGGCCAACTCCTTGGCAGCAAAATCAAAGGCAACTCTTTGGAATTCTTTCTGCTCCTCTGTCAAACCCACCGAAGCTGGGACACAAAAAAAGAGATTTTTTTTTTCAAGGCAGGTACGTTTTCATCTTTCCCTCTTCTATGTTATCCTCACAACAACCCTAACCAGCAGGCCCGGGTGTGAGAAAGTGACTCACCTAATGCTTTGATTTTAGCGATTTGAACTCAGGTCCTACTCTGACTCTCTAAGAGCCCGCCACCTAGTGGCGCATAACGCTAAAAAGAGCTAGAACCTCTGGCTGCCAGACAAGCTTACAAACTCCTGGCTATACTACACACACTGCCATCCAATAATAATTATTATTATTCCCCCCATATATCCAAGGAAGTAAGTTGTGACTCAGAAAAGCTCATATTGTGATACATGTTGTTAGTCCTTAAGGTGCCACGGGACTTTTATTTTATTTCTCTAAGTGCTCCATGACAGATCAAGATGAGTAGCCGTGTTAGTCTGTTTGTAGCCGTAGAGATGAGTAAGAGTCCAGTAGCACCTTAAATGACTAACAAAAGAGCTTTCGCGAGTCACTGCTCACTTCTTCAGATACAGGTAGAATGGGACTCCCATTGTACCCGTATCTGAAGAAGTGAGCAGTGACTCAGGAAAGCTCCTCCCCCTACCACCAATTTTGTTAGTCTTTTATGGTGCTACTTTTCTTTTCTGCAATGCCACGACAGTGACTCATGATGCATTCTCACATGGCTAACCCAAAACTGGGGTGTTTGTGGAGTCCCACACCCGTCACCAGGCACCATGCCCTTGGGACATGGCCTTGCTTGGTAGGGACAGATGTGCCCAGGGCTGCCAGCCTCCAGGTAGGACCCAGAAATCGCCCAGAATTACAACTGATCTCCAGACTACAGAGATCAGTTCCTCTGGCGGAAACGGCCACTTCAGAGAATGAACTCGTCTGAAGCGTCATACCTTCCCTGAGGTCCTTCCCTGCTCAAACCCTCCAAATCCCAGGAATTTCTAAATCTAGAACTGTCAACCCTAGGTGTGCCCCAGATGCTCGGTGAACCATCTCAAAGCCAGACAAATGCATTTCCTACTTGAAGCCCAGCACCCGCCTTGTTCTCACCCACAGAAGGTTGGCATGGCACACACTGTCCCTTTCCTTGGCCTCATCTTCCTGAATAATCTGGCAGGTGCAGTCTAAGAAACCACCCTTTCTTAGTCATTGCTCACCATTCCTGCCAATTCCTTCCATCTTGCTCACCACAAACTACTGTAAAGGTAAAGGTTTCCCTTGCTCGAAGTTAATGTATGAGTTAATGTATGAGTTGTCGAATCCGACTCTAGGGTTGCGGTGCTCATTTCCGTTTCAAAGCCGAAGAGCCAGCGCTGTCCGAAGACGTTTCCGTGGTCATGTGGCCGGCATGACTAAATACCAAGGCGCACGGAACGCTGTTACCTTCCCACCGAAGTGGTACCTATTTATCTACTTGCAATTTCTTGCTTTCGAACTGCTAGGTTGGCAGGAGCTGGAACTAGAGACAGGAGCTCACCCTGTCTTGCGGCACCCGGGTCTTGAACTGCTGAACTACTGACCTTCCACAGCCTGCAGTTCAGCGTCTTAACCACTTGAGCTAGAAATTCCAATATTCAGTAGTTCTATTGGTCCGGGGATGAGGAAGATAGGGGATGGTCCGGGCAATAGTGTTGGGGACCTCCTGCTCAGGGCTTCCACCATAACTATCAGTTGTTATTAGTAGTGATCTAGCGTGTTAACCCCTTGTTATATATATATATATATATATACACACACACACACATACACATATAGCCCCCCCCCCCGCACAAATTCCAAAATACCTTTTTGGAATGTTGGCATTAAAGCTACCAGTCTACCCCACCCCCCCAGTAGCAAGAATTCATTTAGTGTCACAGCAGGTAGAAATCCAACAGGTGTTGCTTCTTGGTCTCATCGCCACATCTCCATGCTGAAAAAGGCAGCACCTATTGGATTTCTGCCAGGGAGAAATTCAACAGGTGGTGCCTTTCCCGGCGTTGCATTTCCATGCACGGATCAAAAAGGCACCATCCGGCTTCTACCTGCCACACCACTTTTAAAGGCAAGGGAGCCCTGCCTCCCGTAGATTCCAGAATCCCCGTGCACACGGTTGGGTTCTCCACGCCTTCTTCCCGATTCTTACGATCAATGCAGGAGGCAATCCCTCGGCGCCCCCATGCCTGTTTGCGCCCAAGGCACCTTCGCAGCTGGAGCTCCAGCCTGTAGCAGCCTCTCCAAGCCATGGCAAGCGGTGCTTCGGCTGCCAAAGCTATGCGACTACGTCACGTCTCCCGCGTTACTCGCCGGGATTTGTAGTTTCACGCTCGTCCGCCAACAATCCTTTTTATTGGGAATCTCCTACAACGAGACTACTCTTCCCAGAAGAGATCGCGAAGGGCTGCAAGGACTTTCGGGAGTTGTAGTGCATGTCTCTGCTCGCGACCCTCTGTGCAGGCTCGCTGATTGGTTGGAAGACGGGGGCCGGTCTTAAAGGTATAGTGGTTGTTTGCATAACTATAATTTGTCCTCCGAATTAAATCGGGCAGCGTGTCGTTCGTTGCGGAAGCGTTTCTTCTCCAGGGATTTGAATCCTGTCTCCTGTTTGCAAAGTGGGAGGGGATATTTCTGCAGAAAGAGCTGGGCAAAGGCGAAAGCGAGAGGAAAAGCAATCGACACAATTGCAAAGTGTACCACTGTACCTATATAGCAGGTACGGGAGCTCTTTTTTCACGGTTGTGCTGGCCTGGACGTGCATTCATTATGCATGTAATACTGGAGCAAATGCACCAGCTAAGCTGTCTAACTAGCTGCAAAGCCCGCAGGGGGCGGGGCGGCGAAACGTTCTTCTATATAATGCCATCCTGTGGTGGCTCAAGTGGTTAAGACGCTGAACTGCAGGTTGTGGAAGGTCGGTAGTTCAGTAGTTCGAGACCCGAGTGTGCCGCATGACGGAATGAGCTCCCGTCTCTAGTTCCAGCTCCTGCCAACCTAGCAGTTCGAAAGCAAGAAATTGCAAGTAGATAAATAGGTACCACTTCGGTGGGAAGGTAACAGCGTTCCGTGCGCCTTGGCGTTTAGTCATGCCAGCCACATGACCACGGAAACGTCTTCGGACAGCGCTGGCTCTTCGGCTTTGAGAGGAGCACCTCAACCCTAGAGTCGGATTCGACTGGCTTTCGGGCAAGGGAACCTTTACCTATCCTGAGCACACTTATGCAAAAGGAGTTCCATATCGTTAGGCTTATTGCACCCGTAATTGAGGGATACTCCAGTGGTCTCAGTGTCTCAACAGTGGCAAGCCAGTCTCTGGGTGGATTTTTCGGTTGCCAGAAACCCCCTGGCCACTGGGGGGGCAGGATCACCAGATTCAGGTTGAGAAACTCCTGTAGATTTGGGGGGGGTGGAGCCTGGCAGGGGATGGAGAACCAGATCCAGGTTGGAGAACTGGAGATTTTGGGGTTGGAGCCTGTGGAGGATAAGGACCTCAGTGGGGCACAATGCCACAGAATCCACCTTCCAAAGCTTCCATTTTTTCCAAAGGAACTGATCGTTGTAGTCTGGAGATGAGCCGTAATTCTGGGGGATCTCCAGGTCCCTTCTGAAGGCTGGCATCCCGAGCTGAAACCCCTCCCCCCACTCCTGCAAAACCTCAGCAGTCCTTGTGTTTCTCCTGTTTTGCTTCCTCTGAGGCCGTACATTATTTATTCTCCACCTTGTCCTCCTCTTCCTAGGGGCGCGGTCTGCTTCCAAGAAGCCGGGGGATGCCGTCACGAGGCAAGAAAAGAGCCAGAGGGCCCTTAAAAGGTTAGTGTGGAAACCAAAGTTTGGTGGTTTTGCCCTGTTCGGTTTCTTGTGTGGATGTGTGTGTTAAAGAACCAGCTTGGAATGCATCTACCTGTTCCTGTTCGGGATGCGTGCCATACCAAGGGCTACGGAAATACAAGGGGTTACAGTCCTGCTAAAGAGCTGAGTGAGGAGTTCGAATCAGCATGTGAAAGTCCCCCCTATTCACATTGTCTTGATCTGCATGCAGTTTCCAGGCCTCTAATGGCAAACCCCCTTTTCTGTCTAGTCCAGGGGTGTCAAACATGTGGCCCGGGGGCTGGATCAGGCCCCCGGAGGGCTTCTATCAGGCCTGCAGTGGAACTGGCTGTCTTCTGCTGCTGCTTCCAGTTCTGCTGCTGCTGCTGCATCGTAGGTTTGCAGTTTACAGATACACACCTGAACTCAAGATTGCAACAGCACAGACATGTTGATGTAATAATTCAGAGCAAGAGGTGACAGTTATCAGACACAGTTAAATGAACAAAATATTGCTTAAAGCATGATTTAATTTTAAGTAAAAAAAAAACCCTTTGTGTTTGTGTCCTTTATAAAGTTTGTATCTCCACTACCTGGCATTACCTTTTATGACACACGTGGCCCGGCCCAACAAAGTCTCATTTATGTCAGATCCGGCCCTCATAACAAATGAGTTTGATACCCGTGGTCTAGTCTGCATTGGCTAACAACACGCAGCCTCCCCTGTAAGTCAGCCGTATGGACAATTCCTCCACAACTTCTTCCTTCTTTTCTCAGCTCTTTGCCACTCCATCGTTCCCTTCGGTCCCTGCTACTGCACTCACAGCACTCTTCCTTTTGGAACCCCCACCATACGATGGGGTTGCCAACCTCCAGGTGAGGCCTGGAGACCTCCCAGAATTACAGCTAGTTCCCAGACTAGAAAGATCCGTTCTCTTGGAGGAAATGGCCCCTTTGGAAGGTGTGCTCTTTGGTATTGTATCCTCCTGAGGTCCCTCCACTCCCCAAACTCCCCCCTCCCCGGCTCGACTCCCGTATTTCACTTTCTGCTATTTAGAGACCACACCGGAAGCTTTATTTTTGATGTGTCGAATCTCCATGATAACCTCTCCTCTTTCTTGTTTGTCTGAAGCTACCAAAGAACCTGACTTGAAAGTGGCCAAGTCTGAGACCCCAGAGGAGGGAGAGGTCCCAGCAGTGGTCAAAAAGTCTGGAAAGATCAATCCTGGGAAAACCTCTGCAGGAAAAGCCAGCGCAGAACAGGAGGGGGACAAGAAAACCTACGCCCATTGGCTGATGAAATCTGAACCGGAGAGCAGGCTGGAGAAGGGAGTCGATGTAAAAGTAAGCCGGCAACCTTCTCTGTGCATTCTCGCCTCCCGGGAATACCTGCCTTCCAACTAGCTAGAGGGCACAGATTTTTACTCTGGAAATCCTGACAGGCTTTTCCGTTGTCTTCACTTTGCAGCTTCAGGGTTAACTCCCTGTTTTATCATTAAAATGCCGGCAGAAAGCAGAAGGCAATTCCCAGTTGTGTCGTTTCTGCCTTACGGTTCTCCTTTTCCCCGTAAACCTCCCTTTTTCTTTTGTACAGCAACATCCTGGAGTGCCGGTTAAACAAGTAATTAACAGCTTTCTACTGTATACATTTAGTGATATGGGCATGAGCCGTAATAACTGGCAGGCATTTTTTTTTTTTTACAAATAAGCCAAACACAAATATGTTCTTGTTAGACAAACAACATGCTTCAGCAGATGTCTACAGCTATTATCTGAACTAACAGGCATCAGATTAAAGGGCCGTATCTGAGCCAAGCTGCGTTATAACAATCTGGGCCAATTTGTACATCGTGGTCCAGTTCTCGAAGGCTTCTGTTTCTCTCAAGTTCGTTTTTATTCTCCCCTTTCTCCAGTGAGCTCAGGGCAGTAAACATATTTCTCCCATCAACATTCTGTCTGCACAACAGAAGAGAGAGTGACTGGTCCAAGGCCACCTAGTAAGCTTCATGGCAGAGCATGGATTTGAACCTGGGTCTCCCAAGTCCTAATCAAACACTCGAACCCTTATATTAACCTGATTCTGGTTTGGAGAATTGAGTGCATGCCGCAGGTTCTCGTGCTTTTCTTCTTCCATCCCGGTGTGCCGGTTCTTTTCTTCATTACCTCGTTTCCTCTAATAACACTTTTCTGTAGCACTGGAATCGGGCAGATTATGAGTTGGCAAACTATGGTTTAGAGATCAATGCTAAGTATTTATTTAGAGAAGAAGAAGAGATTGGATTTATACCCCACCCTTCACTACCCAAGGGAGTCTCAGAGTGGCTTACAAACTCCTTTCCCTTCCCCTCCCCACAACAGGCACCCTGTGAGGTAGGTGGGGCTGAGAGAGCTCTGGCAGAAACTGCTCTTTTTCAAGAACAGCTCTGACAGGACTATGGCTTGCCCAAGGTCATCCAGCAGGTGCAAGTGGAGGAGTGGGGAATCAGACCCAGTTCTCCCAGATTTGAGTCCGCCCACTTAACCACTGCACGAAACTGGCTCTCCACATTTATTAGCTGCCTTTGTTTATTAGGGAGCTCAAGGTAGCTTGCAACGTAGATAAAAATACATAAAATAAAATACATTCTCACACACGCCAGGGCTATTTTTGGGCAGGAACGCACAGGAACGGAGTTCCGGCTGGCTCCCGAGTTGGCCACGCCCAGCAGGAAACGCACAGGAACGGAGTTCCGACTGACTCCTGAGTTGGCCACGCCCAGCAGGAATTCATTAACATAATAGGCCACACCTAACAGCAGAAACTCATTAGGATTGGCTAAATTAGGGGTGTGTGGTCTAACATGCAAAGGAGTTCCTGCTACAAAAAAAGCCCAGGGTTTTGACAACAAACAAGGTAAACAATAAGAAGCAAAAGGTGAGTGTGGTAACATGGGGGTGTGGTCTAATATGCTAATGAGTTGTGATGTCAGGGGCATGACTTAATATGCTAATGAGTTTCTGCTGTTGGGTGTGGCCTATTATGCTAATGAGTTCCTGCTGGGCTTTTTCTATCAAAAAAAGCCCTGCACACACCCGTACCCCAGTTTAAAATCACAGTTCAGGATTGCTAGTCAACATAGATCTTTGGATCTATGGAAGTTATTGAGCACCATTGTTTTAACTTTAGGATGTTTTAAGATGTATTATATGTTTTTAAGTTACTATGTATACTATGTTTTTATTACGGCAAGGTTTACCCTGCCCCTGTAAGCCGCCCTGAGCCCATTGGGGAGGGCGGGGTATAAATGTGAAATATATATAAATAAATAAATAAACCCAATGTGGTCCTAAATAAAAAACATCTTTAACTGCCCTCTAAAGGTTGCGAGTGAGGGAGCCAGGCATTGTTCCATAATCTCGGGGCTGCCACTAATAAGGCCCTCTCCTGTGTACCCACCAACAAGCTTCTTTGATTGAGGGGACAGTCGAGAGGGCCCCTCTGGGTGATCTTAATTCCTTGGGAGAAACACATGGGACAGTGCAGTCCTTCAGACACCCTGGTCCCAAGCCACATAGGGCATTAAAGGTCAGACCCAATAACCAAAAAAGTGTGGTTGCTTGATTCGGATATCAGCAACTCGGAACAGGAGGAAATGGACATGAGAGAGGGTATACAGGTGGCATGCAAGCCTCTGGTGCTTTCCCAGTTTACGCTTGATGTAGTGGTTCATGCATTAGATAAGAACTGTGGAGGTCCAGGTTCAAATCCTCCCTTGTCACGAAGCTCCCTTGGGGTGATCATAGGTCAGTTGCTCTTTCTCAGCCTAACCTAGAAGAAGAAGAAGAAGAGATTGGATTTATACACTGCCCTTCACTACCCAGCGGCTTACAGACTCCTTTCCCTTCCCCTCCCCACAACAGACACCCTGTGAGGTGGGTGGGGCTGAGAGTGCTCTGACACAAACTGCTCTTTTTCAAGGACAGCTGTGCCAGAGCTTGTGACTGACCCAAGGTCACCCAGCCAGTTGCAAGTGGAGGAGTGGGGAATCAAACCCAGTTCTCCCAGATTAGTCTGCACACTTAACCACTACACCAAACTGGCTCTCAGAAGAAGAAGAGATTGGATTTATACCCCGCCCTTCACTACCCAAAGGTGTCTCAGAGCTGCTTACAATCTCCTTTCCCTTCCCCTCCCCACAACAGACACCCTGAGGTGGGTGGGGCTGAGAGAACTCTGACACAAACTGCTCTTTTTCAAGGACAGCTGTGCCAGAGCTTGTGACTGACCCAAGGTCACATCAGCAGGTGCAAGTGGAGGAGTGGGGAATCAAACCCAGTTCTCCCAGATTAGAGTCCGCACACTTAACCACTACACCAAACTGGCTTTCAAGATCGCTGTGAGGGCAAAACTTGGGTGGAAAACCCATGTGCACCTCTTTTGGCTCTAGCACAAGACAGTAATCTCATATACGTATTTTTATAATTGGGATCATCTGACCAGAGGTTAACAGTGTAAATTACCCCAGTTACAGATGGTTATATTTGTTATTGACAAAATCTCTTCCAAGTCCCTAGTTCGTTGTCTGTCTAGTTCGTTGTCTATATTTGTTATTGACAAAATCTAGTTCGTTGTCTGTCTAAAGCCAACTGGCTGTGACATTTTCAAATAAATTGGATCCGGATTCCCATTGTAGCTGTGTGGAATTCATTTTTAATGGACTGTAGAGCCTGATTCGGCTTTGGAACATGGCGTCAGGAAGGGAGGGCCGCCTACCTCCCCCTGGTACCATTTTCTCAAGCTGAAACAGCCCAGGGTGGGAGGTATTTGCCCTATTTTGGAACTGCACGTGCTGCGTTCTGTGAACATGCTTTTTGTTGTGTTTTGTTGATCGTACTGACTCACATTGTGTAATCCGCCTTGATTTCCTGTGAGAAAGGCAGACTATAATTAATGTAAATAAATAAAATAAATAAAAATGAATTCCACACAACTATTTATTTTATTTCATTTATACCCTGCCCTCCCCGCACGCGAGCTCAGGGCAGCTTACATAGGCACAACAGTGCAATAAAATACAACAAGATTAAAACAATTAAGGCACAAAACTGCCGAGCGGCTGGAGGAAAGGCGATCCACACCCAACTTATTTAGAAACACCGTCTTTAGTTAGGCCCTAAACCATTTAATAAGAGCTTAGTTGGGCAGAGGGTAGTCGAATTGCAGACTTTAAACACGAGGCCTCTCCCGTATACTAGTGTAGGTAGAGCAGAAATATTGGTAATTCGAGAGCACGGCAGACTCTTGGGAAAAGAATAAAAGTCCTAATTTTTAAAAATAGCACCAAACATCGAAGAGTGACGCGTATTTTCAATTTGCTTCTCCAGTTTGGCATTGAAGATTTAAAAGCGCAGGCGAACCAGACAGCATGCTGGGATGGTGTCAGGAATTACCAGGTAAATCATGAAGATTTACATTTCTCAAGATAATAAAGCAACCAGGTCTCAAGAGGCACTATTAAATCTTTTCTTTCTTCACCCACTCTGCAAAAAAAGGAGGAAAAAAAGAAAATCGACTGAACCACAAATGTAAAACCTGACTTGACTTGAATGGATTTGAAATTGGATACTAAATCCTTTCTACCCTTTCTCATCCATTCCCTCCTATTTTTAGGTTGATAAGGTTTGCTTAAGGGAGAAATCCTATGTAGGTCTACTTGGAACTAACCCTCAATTTATTCAGTGGGGCTTACTCCCTGGAAAGCGTTCTTAGGATTGCATCCTGTATAACTTAGGCCCCGGTCACACGGGCCAGATAACGTGGGGGGAGGCGTGGCTATTCGCCCCAGAGCAAAATAAAGCGCGGTAGCCCGATCACATGGTCCCCTGAGTCTCCATGCTTAGGCTGTTAGGTGGCGATCACACGGCAATGCTACAGCGTGGCAAAGTGGCACAGCGCGGCGCGATCACACAAGCGTTTCGCATTTATGCGCAGTTCCGCAGAGCAGCACTGCTTTTAGTTTCGTGTTTGTGCGCATGCGCTTACGAAAAACATCCGGTTTGTGATGGGACATGGACAGGCGCCAGATGCATGGGATACTAGCGCTCCCTCAATCAGACGCCCGCCTGTGCCGCACGTTTTCTGAATACTAGTGCACTTTCCTTGGTACTTTTTAACTTCGCATCTTCGGTGGGATGCCACGGGTGCGCTACGCTTCCCAGATGTCGCGGTGTGATCGTGCCTCGAAAACACGCCCGACTTTCGTGCGGCAAATTCTCCATGTGACCGGGGCCTTAATTTCTTGTAAGAACTTTTCCTCCCTACATCTGTTGTTTCTGAAACAGATCATAACCTTCGTGCATTCTCCGTGGCAGCCTAGATTGGACCATCCAGGACAGGGTGCTCATTATACTAACCGATCACCTGTAAGCGATCCATGAACCTGCTTGGGTGTGAAAAACTTGATTCTGCATTCCTCTGGCAGGCACGGAATTTCTTGAGAGAGATGAAAGTTGGGCAGACGGCCTTTTTCTATCACAGTAACTGCAAAGAGCCTGGGATCACTGGCATCATCAAGGTGAGCGTGGTTTCCTGTGACCCTGTGCATTGTTATGACAAAAATTTGCTTTTCAGAAAGACTTACTGGCCTTGATCACTGAGAGATCAAGCAGTGAATCCCTGTCCCTTCAGGGCTTAGAGCTGTGCTATCACTGGCGTTCAGCGCAATCCCAAGGTCTACTCAGAATCCTATTTCGGTCAATTTGATGGGGCAAAACTCCCACAAAAATGTTCTTAGGATTGCACTCTTTGTAATTTGAAAAAAGAGAAACCAGCCTTTCATCCCTCTATGATAAGACACAAAGGTATACATCCACCCTGCAGACTTTAACTGTTTTCGGTTATTGCCTCTTCTCCAGGAAACCTGGGAACAGTTGCAGCACCCCACCAAACTACAATACCCAGAATTCTTTTAGGGAGGTATTTATTTATTAGTTCGATTTATACCCTCCCCTCCCTGCCAAGGCGGTCTCAGGGCGGCTTACATAAAATGCATATATAAATACAGTTAAAAACATACATAAAACAACCATAAACAATCAGTTATGTGACTTTTAAAGTGGGAGGGGCTGTGGCTCAGTGTGGTAGAGCATCTGCTTGGCGTGCAGAAAGTCCCAGGTTTGATGCTCGGCAGGGGTCATTTCCTGCGGGAGCGCACAGGAGCGGAGCTCTGGCAGTAAGGAGCCCAAGGGGCAGGCACATGCAACAAGTCCCGCCCCCTGCTCCCAGCAGCCCTCGGTGTGGCCACGAGGCGCAAGAAGCAGCCAGGTAAGTTGCAGAGCCCCCCCCCCCCGGCCCACCTTCAGGTACAAGCTCTCCCTCCTCTGTGAGGGCAGATCTGCGTGTTGTCCCCCCATAGCTAGCCATCCAAAACAGTCCAGTGGCACCTTTAAGACCAAGTTTTATTCAGGTACAAGCTCTCCCTCCTCTGCGAGGACAGATCTGCACTCCAAAACAGAGCTAGCAATCCAAAACAGTCCAGTGGAGCCTGAGCGGTGGGTGTTGCCTTCTGACACACTTTCGGTGATGTCGGGGTGTGGCATATGCAAATATGTTATGCTAATAAGTTATGCTAATGAGCTCCTGCACCTCTTTTTCTACGAAATGACCCCTGATGCTCAGAATCTCCAGTTGAAAGACTTAGAAGTAAGGAGATGTGAAAGACCTCGGCCTGAGACCCCGGAGAGCCTCTGCCAGTCTGAGTGGCCAGTACTGACCTTGGTGGAGTCCCAGGGGTCTGATTCAGTAGAAGGCAGCTTCATGTGTTCATATATCCCATGTCCAATTTGAGGCTATCCTGGGTATAATTGGGGCGACAGGATTTCAGCGGCAGATATGCAGAAATCCTGGAATTGCCCTGAGTTCCAGGAGGCCCGACTTTCCAGCCACCTCCCATTTATGCCTTTATCCTTGCTTTTCTCCAAAACCTTAGGTGGCGAAGGAGGCCTACCCAGACCACACCCAGTTTGAAAAGAAGGATCCTCATTACGACGCTTCCAGTTCCAAAGAAAATCCCAAATGGTGGATGGTAGGATCATTAAGTCAATTGTCAGTTGAACAGCTTCGGAGAGACGTCAATGCAGTGGCTGCATCTGGACATCGCAGCAAGCCCCGGTTTGCCCACTTTATTGCTGTGCTGACATTTTCTCTCCTCCCTTTACATGTAGACCAGGATGGAAAACGTCCTCATTTCAGAAATCTTCACTTGAACTTCAGTTTACTATGATGTTTGAATGTCGGCACCTGGGCAAATTGGAGTTTGCTTCCTCTGAGAGCCAGTTTGGTGTAGTGTTTAGGAGCCCGGACTCTAATCTGGGAGAACCAGGTTTGATTCCCCACTCCTCTACATGCAGCTGGTGCAGTGACCTTGGGTCAGTTACAAGTTCTTTCAGAGCTGTTCTCTCACAGGCAGTTCTCAAAAGAGCTCTCTTAGCCCCACCTACCTCACAGGGTGTCTGTTGTGGGGAGGGGAAGGGAAAGGAGATTGTAAGCCGCTCTGAGACTCCTTTGGGTAGTGAAGGGTGGGGTATAAATCCAATATCCTCCTCCTCCCCTGCCCCCGAATTAAATCCCAGCCAAAGTTGCATAGTAAAACCATATGAAAAACCTGTAGGATAATACCCACAGTTCACAGATTGTGGCGCTGATTTCCACAAGTTAATTACATGTTGTGCAAAGAAGGGTTTTAAAAAAATCTATCCTGGACCCAGTACCACTCTATGCTGTTGGTCAGCCCAAGTTTATGGGAAGAAAAGAATGATCTGTATTCGCTTTCTTGCATCATGCATAGTTTTATAAATATCAAGGGGTTGTTTGGGGCTGGAGCGCACCGGAGCACTGCTCCAGCAGCCCTGCCCCTGTGCTTTTTTTCTAGAGTCGCACTGCCGCTGCCTTCCTCAGCTCGTCCGCTTGGGCGGGTGAGCCAAGGAAGGCACGGGGAGGCATTTAAATGTCTCCCCGCTCTCTCCCTGGCCCTTCCTGGCTCACCTGCCAGGCAGGAGAGGGCAGGGGGGCCTCTAGGAGCCTTCCTTGGCTTCTCTGCTTGGGCGGGCAAGCTGAGGAAGGCACGGGGAGGCATTTAAATGCCTCCATGCTCTCTCCCCAGCCCTTCCTGGCTTGCCCGCCAGGCAGGCGAGAAAGGAGAGGGGAGCCTTTAGGAGCCGAGGAAGGCATGGGGAGACATTTTAATGCCTCCCCTCTCTCTCCCCGGAATTTCCTGGCTCACCCGCTGAGGCAGATGAGCCAGGAGAAGGTGGGGGGTCTCCAGAAGCAGGCTAGTTGGGGAAGCAAAAGGGGGGGAGGCATCTTTAAAAGCCTCCCCTTCCCTTCCCAGCTAGCCTGCCAAGGTGGGCTGGGGGGGGACTCTAGAGAGAAGGGGTTTAAACTTTAATCCCTTCTCTCTTCGCTTCCCCCCCCCAAGCCCTCCTCAGCTGGCCGGGTGGGGAAGGGGAGGCTTTTGAAGATGCCTCCCCCCCTTTTGCTTCCCCTTCTGACATCACTTCTGGTGATGTCAGGGTATGGCATATGCTAATAGCCTATTATTTTATTTATTTATTTAATTTTATTTATACCTCGCCCTCCCCGCACGCGGGCTCAGGGCGGCTTACAATGTACGGGTGCAATACAACACCGTAGTTCCACAGATATGCTAATAAGCTCCTGCCGCTCTTTTTCTACGGAATGACCCCTGTAAATATCAGTCACATTGTTCTAAAGCAGTTTCCTGATTCTGCCATTTTTGGATCTGACTTTTGTCCCTTGCGCTTAAAGGTGGACGTCCAGTTTGTGCGAATGACAAAGCGCTTCCTCCCCCTGGCAGAACTGAAGCTTCACCACCAGGCACACAAAACCTCTGGAGGCCCCCTGAAAGACATGGCCCTCTTCACCCGCCAGAGACTCTCGGTACAGCCTCTAACTACGGGTAAGTAGGAGGAATGAGCTGCTGTCTCCAACTATTGGGGAACATTAGAGAAGCCAAGTTGGATCAGGCCAATGGCCCAGCCAGTCCAACACTCTGTGTCACAGTGGCCAAAACCCAGGTGCTATCAGGAGGTCCACCTGTAGGGCCAGCACTCCAGAAGCCCTCCCACTGTTGCCCTCCAAGCACCAAGAATACAGAGCATCCCTGCCCCAGAGTGTTCCATTTGTACCTTGTGGCTAATAGCCACCCATGGATCTCTGTTCCATATGTTTATCCAATCCCCTCTTGAAGCTGTCTATGCTTGTAGCTGCCACCCCTTCCTGCGGCAGTGAATCCCATGAGTTAATTACTCTTTGGGTGAAGAAGTACTTCCTTTGATCTGTTCTAAGCCTACTGCTCATTAATTTCATTGAGTGCCCACAAGTTTTTGTATTGTGAGAAGGGGGAGAAGAGGACTTCTTTTGCGACCTTCTCTATCCCATGCATAATTATTTGCATAATTAATTGCTACTTCACCAGGCAGCAGCCCATGCATGACTATTTTGAACACACTATGCCACTTTTCACCAAGTTGGACTATTGGTCTATCAAGCTTGGTATTGTCTGCTCTGACCGGCAGCTTCTCTCTAGAGTCTCAGGCTGAGGTCTTTCGCATCACCCATGACCTGATCCTTTCAGCTGGAAAAGCTGGGAGTTGAACCTGCATGCAAAGCCACATAGGTCTTCTCTATTTGGTCTTCCCAGGAACAGCAGGTGGTTACTTGAGCCCAACAAAGACTGAGCTGAATGCAAGCAACTGCGGCCACTTTCTTTGCTGTAGGCTCAAATAACAGGGTGTTTTTCTTTTTTGAAAGTATGCAGCCTTGTAGGTTGCCCAGGCTAATAAGAAGTCTTCTGCCGGGCACAGGGCCGTTTCAGACTAAAAGCCGAGAGCACTGCCTTAGCACTATTACATAGGTGGAGTGGCATACCATCTGCTTTGAACTGAAGAAAAAGAGAAGAGATTGGATTTATACCCCGCCCTTCATTACCCAAAGGTGTCTCAGAGCGGCTTACAAACTCCTTTCCTTTCCCCTCCCCACAACAGACACCTGTGAGGTAGGCGGGGCTGAGAGAGCTCTTGACGGAAATGGCTCTTTTTCCAGAACAGCTCTTATCAGAACTACGGCTTGCCCAAGGTCATCCAGCCAGGTGCAAGTGGAGGAGTGGGGAATCAAACCCGGTTCTCCCAGATTAGAGTCCGCGCACTTAACCACTACACCAAACTGGCTCTGTTCAGACCAAACTGAAAAGGTCTAAGGTTCAATGCACAGTATCTCCAGTTAAAGGATCTTGGATTGTAGGCATTAATGAGAGACCCTTTTTTATTCACTTCACGTGTACACCATCTTTCACCCCAATGGGGACATAATGTGGGTGATGTCATTTCCCCCTCCTCTATTTTATCCTCACAACAACCCTGGGAGGTAGGTTAGGCTGAGAGCGTGTGACTACCCCAAGGTCACCCAGCCAACTTCCGTGGCATAGGGGGAATTTGAACCTGGGCCTTCTAGATCCTAGTCTTAACACTCTTAGAGAGCTAGTTTGGTGTAGAGGTTAAGAGTGCTAATCTGGGAGAACCGGGTTTGATTCCCCACTCCTGCACATGCAGCTGCTTGTGTGACCATGGGTCAGTCGCAAGTTCTCTCAGAGCTGTTTTCCAAGAGCAGTTCTCTCAGAGCTCTCTCAGCCCCTCACCTACCTCACAGGGTGTCTGTTGTGAGGAGAGGAGGGGAAGGGGAGATAGTAAGCCGCTCTGAGACTCCTAGTGAGGGGTGGGGTATAAATCCAACGCTTCCTCCTCTTCTTCTTCACCACTGCACCACACTAGATTGCTCAGGTGTTTATATGTGCAGTAGTGCTTTGAGTCAGAAAAATACAACTTTAGTATGGTTTTAGAATTGTTTTAATTGTAACTTATGTTTTAATGCAATTTGTCTGTTTTTATGTAAACCGCCCTGAGCCAGCTCTGGCTGGCAGGGTGGAGTAGAAATCCGAAAAATAAACAAACAGACAAATCTTCCCCTCCCTGCCCTCTCCATTACAAATGTGAACTTCATCTCACATTGTAAAAATCATTTGTTTAAATGCCTGTATTTTCCCCCCTAAAGCAGTGATGGCGAACCTTTTAGATACCGAGTGCCTAAACTGCGACCCAGAACCCGCTTATTCATCGCAAAGTGCCAACACGGCCATTTAACCAGAATACTGAAGTTTTGCTTTAGAAAGAACTCATACATTAACTTAAGAGGATCCAAACATAGTAAGGAAAGCAATCCCAAATGCTTTCATTTACTTAAAATTATTTGGCAGAGAATTTGACACTTCAATGATGGTCTGGGCCTGGCTGGGGCGATGGCACGCGTGCCCGCAGAGAGGGCTCTGAGTGCCACCTCTGGCACCCGTGCCATAGGTTCGCCACCACTGCCCTAGAGGAAGGAATGAGAATGGGATCTGTTTCAGGGTGGCGGGGATTAAACGTGGGGCTTATTGATTTTGGTAAGAACACCTTTCGTATCCCCCGACCGCTAATTCCAGCATTAAGCAGGAGAACGTCTTTCCGATTCTTTGCTTCTCCCTTACAGAAGAATTTGAGTTTGTCTTGAGCCTGGAAGAGGAGAAGCCCCACTGAGAACTGACATCAGTCCTGAATCGCGCGCTACAGACTTGGCTGACCAGTTACCGATTTGCTCCTGCAAAACCTGGTCGCTTTACACTGGCAGACAAGGGCGATCTGGAATTGCACCAAAGCCATGTTATCATTAGAGGTTAAGGTGGTTGTTGTTGTTTTTTAAAAAAAATAAAAGCATCCCTAGGTAGTTTTAATGTCTGTGGGTTAGTTATTGCGAGGAGCAGATTGCAGCATTCTCAGCCACTGGTTCCCCCCCAGGTTATCCTTGCACTAAGCTTTCCTGTAAACCTGCCTAGCAAAGACTGGGGGGGGGAGGAAAGAAAGGAGGAGACAGAGTTCGGCTGAGAGATTAGAGCAGAGCTTAGAGTCAGCAGGGCACGGAGTGGGAAACCTGCTAGAGACCAACACGCCACGGAAGCCAGCAGAGCAGATGGTTTGACTCACATGGGTCACCTCCTCCATCAGAAGAGACTATTGCACAGGCCTCGTGCCAGACAACGGCAAAACCACCTGTTACAATAAAAGACGGTCTTGATTTGTGCTTCATTCCCGTTTATGTCATATAGGACTTTTTTTTTTTTTGCCATGAAGTTGCAGCCGACTTACGGCAAACCCTGCAGGGAATCCAAGGCAAGAGATGTTCAGTGGTGGTTTGCCATGGCCTGCCTCTGCATCACGACTCTGGTATTCCTTGGAGGTCTCCCATCCAAATACGAACCAGGGCCAACCCAGCTTAGCTTCCAAGATCAGGCTACCCAGGGGAGGGCGTTTCTTCCCCTTATGGCCTGACCTAAACATGCACACACACCCCGTACAAAAACCGAACCCATACTCTTCCTGTCTTGTGTGTTCAGGAAGTGCTGTTCATTCTTTTTCCTCCAGAGGGGAATGAAAACTGGCTCGTGATCTCTGCGTCCACCTAAGAGCAACCTTCCAAAAGGCCCAGTTTTCTCATTTGATTGCACCAACGGGTGTATGAAGCATCCCCCCCACCCGAGTCTTTCCATGCCGCTAAGAACAAAGCATCCTGTCCTATACGGGGGAGGAAGTTCACAGGACCAGCTGTGAAGTGGACAGGTGTGAATTAGCGCTAAGGCACCCATGGGCAGGATATCCCAGCGACCTTTGAGATACTCATAAATTGGCTGCTTAATTTTCCGGGGGCAGGGGGGTTGCTTCACTTTAAAAAGGCATAAGTCAAACACAAAGTGTGGCTACTGCATGCCTGCCTGGTGAGTTTGGGCACATCTTAATTAGGTCCAGGCTTAAGGTAGGATTGCCTCTGAGCATGCACAGAGTACTTTTCTCCTATCCCCCCACTATCTATATCCCAGCACCAGTGTTCCCTCTAAGCTGAGTTACACATTTTTGCCTTAGCTCGGGAAGGAGGGCTCCAGAGCAAACTAATTGATGCAGTCGCCAAATCGCTTGCTCACAACTTGAATGCCAGTAGCTCACAAAGTAGAATTCTTGCTCACAAGACTCTACAGCTTAGAGGGAGATTTGCCCAGCACAGATGTAAAATCAAGAGGTGGGGCTTTCACGTAGTTTTGATTTCCCCCCTCCCTTTGAAAAGTTAACGACGGGATAGAAAGAAAAATATGATACAACCAAAATAAGGCAACACTGACACTTGTCCTTTGAGAGCCTAGAATGGCTTTTTTTTTAATTGGAGACCAAAAAAAAAAAAAAGTGAACTCCCATCATTTAAAAATACAACCATTTAAAAGACAATGAATTAAGAAACATGTAAACAATGCAAAGGCTTAATTTACAAGTTGCACTGCTTAATTTAGTACCTATGGGTTCCCCACCCCCCCATGGAACCTTCCGGAAGATTGGCAAGTCACATTGGGGCATTCCTGCAGATACAGATCGGCTGGGGTCTCCCTCATCCATGCTGTCTTGTACTGGAGTTGAACTTTCAACATGGCTTTTTCCAGCAATGACCAGATGTGGAATGGGCAGTTTTATGTGCTCGTGAGGAGGCACTTAAGTAGACATGGAGCTCAGGAAATGGGACGGCCTTACAATCTGCGAAAACAATTAAAATTCTGCACCAGAAAAAAGCGGAACGGGTTGTGGAAATTATGCCAACTGGCGGTTGTTTTGCATAATTTGCAACATTTTGACTATTTTTGAAATAAGAACATAAGAGACACCAATGTTGGATCAGGCCAAAGGCCCATCCAGTCCAACACTCTGTGTCACACAGTGGCCAGAAATACCAGTGCCATCAGGAGGTCCACCAATGGGGCCAGGACATTAGAAGCCCTCCCACTGTTGGCCCCCCCAAGCACCAAGAAGACAGAGCATCACTTGCCCCAGAGCCCCTACCTATACCTTGTGGCTAATAGCCACTGATGGACCTCTGCTCCATATGCTTATCTAATTCCCTTTTGAAGCCGTCCATGCTTGTCCATGAAATAATTTATTCTGCTTCATAAAGGAAAGGATCTCTATATACAGAGAACTGAAGTCCTGGCCTCCGATTCAGCCAGCTCTCTGGCTTTTGTGGATTATACCAACAAATGCTGGCATAGTCTTTACAACCAATTCTAGCAATTTGCTCTTCTTCAGAAAATAAAAAACAAAACACCTCAGGAAACTTCATTCCTCACCCAGTACCACATCCTGCCGGCATGCATTTGAAGCTGTGGCATGCACCTCACTCAGTTACGATGTGGCTGGATCAACAGTCACACAACAACCACCACCACCACCCGTTGTAATCTGGAAACCTTTAAAAACAACCTCTCACATGGCGGGCTGCACAGCAAGAAGACATGGTGGTCCCTAGAAAGCAACCCAAAACAGTGGTTCAGGAGACAGCAGCGTTTCAGAACCACAAGCCTATATACAACCACATGACAGAAATATTTCTTTTAAAAAATTTACTAAGAAGCCATCACCGCATCTTGACGATGCCTCTGGACTGGCCAGCAAGATGTCACATACCAATGGGAAACGTTTGATTTTTAAAGTCATGCTTCCCATCTTCTACGCAAACAAGGAAAGTCAAATTGGTGATGCGGAGAACGAGCCGGTATCCCAGTATGGACTGTGCTAAGAACTCCATGGGTGGGCAGAGGACACTTTTGTGGAGACCTAGCACGGTGTTAAATTAAAAGACGCCTGCTCCTTGGGAGGAAAGCGATGGCAAACCTAGACAGCGTAATAAAAAAAAGAGGCATCACCCTGCCAACAAAAGTCCGTATGGTCAAAGCGATGGTATTCCCCGTAGTACTGTATGGTTGCGAGAGTTGGACCATAAGGAAGGCCGAGCACCAAAGAATAGATGCTTTCAAATTATGGTGCTGGAGAAGACTCTTGAGTCCCCTGGACTGCAAGGAGATAAAATCAGTCAATCCTAAAAGAAATCAACCCTGACTGGTCCCTGGAAGGCCAGATACTGAAGCTGAAGCTCAGATACTTTGGCCACCAAATAAGAAGGGAGCACTCACTGGAGAAGACCCTGATGCTGGGAAAGACTGAAAAGAAGGGGACGGCAAAGGATGAGGTGGTTAGACAGTGTAATCGCGGCAACAAACATGAAATCCAGCAAACTCCGAAGCACGACGGAAGACAGGAGGGCCTGGCGTAATGTGGTCCACGGGGTCGCGAAGAGTCGGACTTGACTGTGCGTCTTAACAACAACAAAGCACGGTGTGCCTGGTGGAATGGAGAAGAACGGCTGAGCAACCACAGACAGATGGTTGAAGTCATCACAGACTCGGTGAGATGCTTCACCACTGCTCTGCCACAGCGGAGAGGGCGCATCTGAAGGAGGAACTGCAGAAGAGCAAGCTAGGCCACCTGTGAGCGCTACTCAAGTAGCTTTGCTGGGAAATCCACGGAACGATCTCTTCTTTCCCTTGACGACAAAGCAGTCACCTTTCGCTACGGGCTGAAGAACCTTTCCTCCTTGCGAGGTTGACTTCTTGGCCACAGAGACCGAGCAAACCTTTCCCGTTTAATGTGCGCATGGGGAAAGAATCATCCACAGGGCTAGGAGAGGTGTTTCACGTTCCCTAGATCACAGGAGGACTCCGTGGCTGGATGCAAAAGTTACTCTTTTGTCAAAGATCAACGAGCATGACACAGACTCATTTTGGTAAGCAGACAGACAGACATTACCGGTCAGCAGACCTTACTACACTGAAGAGTGAAGATGTCCTCTTTACAGATGCCAGAGCATCCTCTCAAACATTAAATGGTGTTTGTGCCTGAGCTACTGGGAGACCCCTGCCAACTTTGGTGCCCGGACTATGCACCCAAAGAAAATGTTGGGAGGGGCTGTGGCTCAGCGGTAGAACATCTGCTTGGCGTGCAGAGAGTCCCAGGTTCAATCCCCGGCATCTCCAGTTAAAAGGACTAGGGATAGGATGATGTGAAAGACCTCTGCCTGAGACCCTGGAGTGCCGCTGCCAGTCTGAGCGGACAATCCTGACTTTGATGGATCAAGGGTCTGATTCGGTATAAGGCAGTTTCATGTTCAGAAAATGACCCAGGAGGGAAGTCTGACTAAGCCCAGAAGATCTACCTACCCACTAGTGAAGATGACAAAAGCCCTGGATTCAATGGTTTGCAAAGCAATGGGAAGATGACGTTGCATGGATAATGTAGAGTTTAGATTATTCTGAGAAGGTCCCTCCCTGGCTTTCTGAATGGGCATCCCCACCAGAGGAACACTTTCGATCCACTAAGCCAAGGGGTACAAATACACTCCATTTGTGCATTTTGCACCCATTCTGCACCAAGAAAACCCAAATTCTGCAATCTGTAGAAATGCTGCCAATTAAATTACTTTGCATCACTTCTCACTTTACATAACAGGATTTGCAATTTTTTAATACTTTGCTTAAATTCTGCTACCTATGGCAATGGCTACATGCAGCCCTTGAGCTCCACTCCCGACCACAGGAAATCTTATTCAGCCGTCTCTGTGGAGTTGAAGATTCCAGAAGATCCTGGCTCCACAATTTTGAGAACTTTGCCATAGCCAAAGGGGAGAGAAACTTGTTTGTTTGAAAGCAAGTTCCGGGATTCTCAAGAAGGAGATTTCTATGCACGTTAGACAAGATTTTTCACTGGTTCAGAGCTGCTTGGAATCTGAGTACACATGTAATCCTGCTATCACAGCGAGAGCCATATTCAATTTTATTTTTTTTACGGGAGTTTCATACCAGCTATATCTGTGACTCCGATTATATAAAAGATGAAGGTGTATACCTCCACAAGTTTCTCCTTGGTCCCAAGCAGTGTTCCCTCTAAGCTGAGTTAGTGTGAGCTAGCTCACAGTTTTTTAGCCTCCAGCTCACACATTCCTTGATGCTGGGAAAGATTGAAGGTCAAAGAAGACGGGGACGGCAAAGGATGAGATGGTTAGACAGTGTCATAGATGCAACGAACATGAAGTTGAGCAAACTTCAGAGGACGGCGGAAGACCGGAAGGCCTGGCGTGATCTGGTCCATGGGGTCGCGAAGAGTCGGACTCGACTGCGCGACTGAACAACAACAGTACACATTTTTGTCTTGGCTCAGAAAGGATGGCTCCAGAGCAAACTAATTTACGCAGTAGCCAAACTGCTTGCTCACAACTTTAATGCCTATAGCTCGCAAAGTAGAATTTTTGCTCACGAGACTCCACAGCTTAGAGGAAGCATTGGTCCCAAGATTCAGTTAAAACTGTATGTCTCATAGTAGCTTTTGGGGGGGAGGTGGCACTCAGAGTGCTAGTCCACATCGTTGGGTTTTTTTTTTTTGGGGGGGGGTAATATTCCTAGAAGTGTCATAAGTCAGAAGGCAAATCTGAAAAAAAAAATGTTCACTAGAGGATTTAAAATAATTTAGAATAAATGGTTTCAGCAGGAAGAGGGGCTTGGTTGACAAATTTCTGAACGCTTGGAATGGAGTACCCCACCGCTGGAAGAGAAAGTGCAGATTCATCAAAACAAAGGTGGTGGGGAAGGAGAGGGCGGCGGTTATCCTGAAGTCTATTTCAATGGTTAAAGATGAACAAGAGATGAACCCAGTGTATGGAATGAAACGTCTATCACTCTGTACATTGAATTATTCAAACAACTTCAAAGCTTACACTAGGGTTGCCAAATGGGCCCGGGGGGCGGGGAATCCCCCGCTTCGGAGCCCCGATTTCCGCCCCGGCGGAATCGGGGCCCGGGGGGAACCCCGTCCCCGAAGCTGCATCACCAGAGGTGACGCAGCCACGTTGCTGACGTTGGGGGTGTGGCTGAGCTCGTCCGGGGGAAATCCATATGGTTTTCCCCCCCATGAACTCGGCCACGCCCCCGTCAGCAACGTCGGACGTCACTTCTGGTGACGTCCTGCCGGCGCGCGCGCACGCACCCGAAAGGCTCTCCCGGACAGCGACGAGGCTCCCCTGCTCCGAGGGGTAAGTGGATTTGGCAACCCTAGCTTACACTAATTTCTTTTTGAGAGTGAGAGAGAGAGAGGTCAAGCTCGAGGAGAGGTGGGTCACCCAGGCCAGGTAAGCTTTGGGGGGGTCGGGAAGCAGAGCCCCTCTTCCAGCCCTTAAGAGAAAACAGGCTGGTGATGAAGTAGATCGCCATTCCTCACAATCTTGACAGACCAGGCCCAGTGGGTGCTTTTTATCCTGAATAAAAACGGAAGGCACACTTCAATATTGCACTCTCCTGCTGTAGTTGGAGTCACCTCCTCCTGCTCTGCTTCTGTATGAGTACCCGTTCTCTGAGACCAGGTGATTCTGCTGCACCTCTGTGCTGGGAGCGTCCGAATGATCCCCTCGCAGACTCTACAAAAACACCCACCCTAGAGCAGGTGTCCAGTTTTTATCCGCTCTTTGTCCAAGATGCTCCCCCTCGCCATTTGTATCTTTACATCGCTGTGAGCAGGCAGGGCCTGGGCGATTAAAATGGGCCTGGTGTACTAAGTGGAGCTACTGAGCCTTGTCTCTGCTTGCTCCTGACCGCCAGCAGCCCTCCAGAGTAGTGACCCACCAGGAACTTTCCTTGTAAGGGAAATGGCCAATCTGGCCTACAGATGTAAAATTTCCAGAAATTTTGAAGCCCGGAAAAACCCCCGAGTTTTTCCCGTTTTTTTCGGGGGGAAACGGAAATTTTTGGAAAAATTGAAAAAAAATGCTACATTGACCTTTCTTTTGTCTTTTCTAGATTGAAAGTCATTCTGTTACTTTAGGAACATAAAATATGACTATGGACATTTTTACTTGGCATGAAATTATCACAACTAGCATATTAAAAATAAGTGTATCCAAACAATTATTACAAACAGAATACCCACCCACATGCAAAAACAAAACTGAAACCTTTTTATTGTCTTCTGACAATAGCACCTCCTAAAGGAAGAAATGCATCTTGTTCTTGCATTGGAGAGTTCAGTTTGTAACCTACAGCTTGCTTGTCCTCAGTGCACAGAAATTAGATCAATCTGATACCATACATATTTTTTGGAAATGATTTGGAAAATATTTGAACACCTTGTCTTAAAATATTTTATTCATCATGTTAAAATAAAACGTTCCATAATCATTTTTTTTTCTTTTCTTTTTTCAATTTTTCCAACTTTTCGGGGAAAAAACCAAAAAAGCTTCAGGGAAAAAAACGGGAAAAAAACTTTTTCCCGGGCCTTCACATATCTAATCTGGCCACAGCCGTGAGGAAGGAAGCCAATCTATATGCAAAAGAACCTCCTCAGGAAAGCTTCTCCATTAGCATGTCACAGCCTGGGGAACTCCTACAAGATAATGACTCAGCCCTACCCCACCTTCCTGAGTAGATATAAATTACCTGCCCACATTGACACAGAGAGTACTCCATCTTTCTGTGCTACACCTCTGAGGATGCCAGTCACAGCTGCTGGCAAAACGTCAGGTACTACAATGCCAAGACCACGGCCAGACAGCCCGGAAAAATCTCCAACAACTAATGAACTCTGGCCGTGAAAGCCTTCGACAACATATTGTTACGCTGAGAGTCTGTGTGACCGGCTGAAAGTGAGCTTCCCTACCGATTGGGAATCTGAACCCCCAGCCCTGCAGTCCTAGTCAAACACTCTAATCATTACAGCACACTGGCTGGGAGAGGCAGAGCAGTAGAGCATGCAGAGATGCAACAGGCAGCTCCTCTCTAAAGGGAGAGCTTACTGGGGACTCGTGGGAAACTCACTTCATGATGCTCAGAGCATCTTGGGACTTGCCGGGTTAGGCTGTAGTGAATCTGCTGCCTCTCTATAAAAACGCCAAAGAGCCCGAGGACAGGAAAAAAGGGAGGTGGCTGCCGGGAAGAACCCAGCAGAGACCTAATAAAATTTAGCCATAATTGAAGCCTGAATGGCCTTGCCTTGCTCATCAACGCCTACACTTTTAAGGGAAATGTCTGCCTTCCCTTCCCACCCACCCCCCCATCTGTATTTCCCTCAATGGAAATGAACAGCTCTCCCCGATAGCCGGAGGACACACTGTAATTGTCAAGCCGTAACCATTTTTTTTCACTTTTCGTCCTCGTCATCAACCCCCTGCAGTGCAAATGCAAGAAAACTACTAGAGCGCCACAATAAATACACTTAACAGGTCAAACCAATAGAAACCGTCGTAAGCATTAACACACTCAACTACAGAAGAGGCTACCTGCTGCATCTCTGCATGATTCATGACCACTGGGGTAGTGGATAATTGTTGCACCAAATGTGATAGACTCACTTGGTCGTTCCCAATCTAGGGGCTCATCAGAATGCGGTGTCCCTGGAGGAGCCTGCCCGCCGCACCTCTGCCTCAGTCACTGTTCCGTGCTCATTCTCGTACGTTTTTAAAAAACAAACCTTTGGGGAATGCAAAGCTGAAGTGGGCCTCCAATTTTAAATCTGAGGTGTTCTGTGGTCATTTATCGGAATTTGGGGGAAACAGTGGACTGGGGATTTTCACACATGAATGCTGTATGTGCCTTTGAGGCTCTCGGGCACGACTTATGTGCGTGCATGTGCAAATGGTGCTGAGAGAGAGAGACAGAGGTCATTTAAAAATGACTCAAAACGTCCATCCGTACCAAGAGGCTTGAACATCTGAAATACAAAAGGAACCCAGCTTTAGCATCACGTGTGAGAACACCGAGTGCACTGGTCCCCAACAAGGTTCCCTTTTCTGGTGCCCGCCAAGTGTTTTTTGGGAAGTGAGTGGAAGCAGTTTCAGCTGCATGGATTTTTTTCCCAGTGTTGCTGTGGCAGCCATTTTGTGGCTGGCTCTGCCTCCTGCGGCAGCCGCTTTGTTGCTGCGTCCACCGTGCCGTGCCGGAATTCCAAATGCGCCCACCGGCGCAAAAAGGTTGGGGACCCCTGACCTAGCGCGTTCCCCTACTTAAAAAAGGCATTGGACCACAGCATGCCAGAGCAATACTGAACGCAGAGAGAAGACGGCATTGTTAGTGTCACCTGGGCTGATCCCCCCTCACTATCCTGCAAGTTGCTAGTCCTCGGGGCGGGGTGGGAAGGAATGAAGAGGGGGAAAAAAAAAAGGAAACACACAAAACCCAACAGATAATTCGTGTTCTCAAGTCTCTGTTGAAAGATTCGTTCGGTATTCTCCTTTTTTTTCGCAGCGTCTCCAGGCTGAGACCGTGGAGGTTCTGCAGAGAGCGCGATCCGCGGGTGTCTCACTGCCGTCCGTTGTTCTCTGCAGACTGGCTGGCCGTCCTGCTCTCTGTCTGGGAGGACGTACCTTCAAACCGCTGCGAGGCAATAGCCGCCTGATGGGACATGCTTTTCCGCACAATGTCTCCTTTGCGCCATAACACTACCTCCTGCCCAAGGAAGAGAAGCGGGATTGTAGTGTTACCTAGTCTGTGCGATTAAGGCCTAAAAGCGCAGTGCAGAAATTCAAAAGGTACAGCTTTCCTTCTGGCAATTCCCACAGTTCCCCACTGGGTTAATTTCTTTCTTTCCTTCTCCAGGGAAAACTGAACATTCTACTTGAGGCTATGACCTTTCTTAGCCTTCCTTTATCAAGGAGGAATTGCCTTATGTGGATTACAAATACAGATTTGAAACTGTCCCATCTCCAAAGCAAACAGCATCCATGGAATTGTATAATAAATTACGCAACACGCACATACACAACTCAGCAAAAAAAACCCCAAACCCTAGACTAGTCAACATACCAAAACTTTGGCTCACCTACAAAACTGATCTGAACAGAAAATAACTACATTTTCAAATAACATAACTGACAAGCACAGGTCTACTGTGATGGCCACTAACTTTGACAGCTTTTAAAAGGGGATTAAAGTAATCAGTGAAGGGCAAGGGATCAGTGATTACTGGTTATGATGGTTAAACCTCCATGTTCAGAGGCAATGTACCTCTGAGCATCAGGGCTGAAGGCAACAGCAGGGGAACTGCTGCCTTCAAGCACTGACTACGGTCTTCCTAGGAGAATCTGTTGGCAACTCCAGTAGGGCTCTCCAGTTGGCTGTAGTGGGGCGCAGACTCTAATCTGGGAGAACCGGGTTTGATTCCCCACTCCTCCACTTGCACCTGCTGGATGACCTTGGGTCAGTCACAAGTTCTCTCAGAGCTCTTCTTCCAAGAGCAGTCCTCGAAAGAGCTCTCTCAGCCCCACCTACCTCACAGGGTGTCTGTTGTGGGGAGGGGAAGGGAAAGGAGTTTGTAAGCCACTCTGAGTGAAGGGCGACGTATAAATCCAATCTCTTCTCCTCTCCTCCTCTGTTTCTAGACATGGCATACGTGGGAAGTAATGTATATATAGGGAGTTTACAGCTGGACTTAAGTCCAGTAGCACCTAAGAGAGGAACAAGATTTTTGGAGTAGGAGCTTTCAAGAGTCAACACTCCCTTTATCAGAACTTCTGACAAAGGGGGATTTGACTTTGGCAAAGTTTATACCCTGAACATCTTGTTGGTCTCGAAGGTGCTACTGAATATCTGATGAGGGAAGCTTTGACTCTCAAAAGGTTACACTCCAAAAAATCTCGCCAGCCTCTAAGGTGCCACTGGATTCAAATCTAGCTGCTAAACTACAGGCCAACCTGGCTACCTTAAAAATAAGTTTACATTACTAGAATCATGAACTGTCAAGGTGAAACTGAAGTGTCACAGGAAGAAGAGGAGATTGGATTCATACCCCGCTCTTCACTCGGAGTCTCAGAGCGGCTTACAATCTCCTTTCCCTTCCCTTCCCCACAACAGACACCCTGTGAGGTAGGTGGGGCTGAGAGAGCTCTGAGGGAACTGTGACTGACCCAAGGTCACCCAACTGGCTGCATGCGGAGGGATGGGGAATCGAACCTGGTCCCCCAGGTTAGAGTCCACTGCTCTTAACCACTACACCAAACTGTAGCAGTGATGTGAATTTTTCAGGAAATTTTGAATCAGAACATTTTCGAATTCAAATTAAAGTAAATAACTGAAATATTTCAAATACCATTCGCAAAACCAGACGATTACACCATGCACAAGCCTGGATTTCCAGCCGCAAGACCCTGCCCAGAGCAATAACCATCTCGCCCGCACTCATGGAAACGCCCCCGAGACATCCCCTGCCCCATCGCACCTGTTGTTTAAAATAGCGCCGCTCTTCTTCGTCGATCAGCACCAGGTTGAGGTAATAACGCACAGAGAATTTCTTATTGATGTCTCTCATGGTTGGCGTCAGCTCGTAGCCTGCTAGGAAGAGCCGAATGGGGATGGACTCTCCTGTCAGAGAAAGGAAGCCAAAAAGCAGAGCAGAGGTTCTAAACATGGCACGTGCGCAACAGAGATCCGTCTGTTCTAATCAGGGCGTACCTGGCGGGGAATTTGGGGTGGTGTAAACCAGGGGATGTTGGACGGGAGCAGGGAGAAAAGGTGAAAAACCCCATTTGGTCACCAACTGACTTTAATTAATGTATTTATTCACTCATTTATACCCCTCCTTTCTCCCCAACGGAGATCTGAAGTGGCTGAAGTCATTCTCGAGAGACAGTTTGGTGTGGTGGTGAAGTGCGTGGACTCTAATCTGGGAGAACCGGGTTCTCCTCCACTTGCAGCTGCTGGATGACCTTGAGCAAGCCATAGTTCTGTCAGAGCTGTTCTTGAAAGAGCAGTTCCTGTCAGAGCTCTCTCAGCCCCACCTGCCTCACAGGGTGTCTGTTGTGGGGAGGGGAAGGGAAAGGAGTTTGTCAGCCGCTCTGAGACTCCGAGTGAAGGGCGGGGTATAAATCCAATCTCCTCTTCTTCTTCTTCCTCTCACAACAATCCTATAAGGTAGGTTAGGCTGAGAGAGGGTGACTGGCCCCAGGTCACCCAGCGAACTTCCATGACAGAGCAGGGATCTGAACCTGGGTCTCCTAGATCCTGGCCTGACCCACTAACCACTACACCACACAGGGCCTCAGACTAACTTTAAGCCAATTTCAGGTTATCTAATGAAGGCAGCTTTGACTCTCGATAGCTCAGCTATGGAGCTCACACTTGGCACATGTAAAGGTTTTTCATATTAAACCACACGACCAGTTTAAGAGGAGGAGGAGGAGGAAATTGGATTTATACCCCGCCCTTCACTACCCGAAGGAGTCTCAGAGCAGCTTACAAACTCCTTTCCCTTCCCCTCCCCACAACAGACACCCTGTGAGGTAGGTGGGGCTGGGAGAGCACTGACAGAAACAGCTCTTTTTCAAGAACAGCTCTAATCAGAACTACGGCTTGCCCATGGTCATCCAGCCAGGTGCAAGTGGAGGAGTGGGGAACCAAAACCGGTTCTCCCAAATTAGAGTCCGCGCACTTCACCACTACACCAAACATTAACCACTACACCAAAAAAGGTAACATGGCTAGGAAAAGTTTCCATTTTGGGACCCTGGAGAGTTCCTGCCTTGCGGAGGAGCCACATGCACCTAGCTGGACCAAAGGTCGGAAGCGGAGTCACGCACGTTCTTGGCAGCTTCAGCCGAGTTGGTTCTCACCTCTCACCGGCGCCCCATCCATGATCTCATATTTCGCTATTGTGTCGTTCTCGTGGTACACGTTGGGCCCGGTCCCCGTGGTCTCCCTCTTGATGATGTCGATCTCCATGTGTTTGATCTTGATCCTCACGAGCAGAAAGTAGATCTTCCCAACAATCACATCTTTTAAATGATACCTGGGAGACATAAGAGGAATTGGCAGAGAACTGGCGCGAGAGAGACTGGCAAACAGGCATTCCTTGCCCAGTCCATGAAAAAAGATGGGATAGTCCTCGCCAGTGTTCCCTCTAAGCTGAGTTAGTGTGAGCTAGCTCACAGGTTTTTAGCCTCCAGCTCATACATTTTTGTCTTGGCTCAGGAAGGAGGGCTCCAGAGCAAACTAAATTACGCAGTAGCCAAATCGCTCGCTCACAACTTTAATGCCAGCGGCTCACAAAGTAGAATTTTTGCTCACAAGGCTCTACAGCTTAGAGGGAACATTGGTCCTCGCCCTACGCAAGCTGCTGAAAAGACAGTTTGGCCCCAAAGGAAACAAGGATCACGATCCCTTTCCTTCAGCAGCAGAGATTTTAAGTGTCTGAAAGATCAGTGTGGCAGCAGGGCACTGAACCTGTGCAGCGCACTGGCTGGATCCGCACACAAAGTTTTCCTAATTCCTCAGCTGCTCCTGCCCAAGTGTTCCATCTGCTCCAAGAGTGTATAAAGCTTATACAAGACTGTATAAATCCTGTAGAAAACCAGCTGATTTATATCTGCAGAGGAATCATTAGATTCTTGTCCAATAGAAGAAGAGAAGAAGAGATTGGATTTATACCCCGCCCTTCACTTGGCGTCTCAGAGCGGTTTACAAACTCCTTTCCCTCCCCCTCCCCACAACAGACACCCTGTGAGGTGGGTGGGGCTGAGAGAACTCTGACACAAACTGCCCTTTTTCAAGGACAGCTGTGCCAGAGCTTGTGACTGACCCAAGGTCACATCAGCAGGTGCAAGTGGAGGAGTGGGGAATCAAACCCGGTTCTCCCAGATTAGAGTCCGCTCACTTAACCACTATACCAAACTGGCTCTTAGAGACCCACAGGGTATAATCAAGGTATAAGCTTTCAATAGTCAAAACTCCCTTCATCAGATACACAGTGACTCGCGAAAGTTTATACCCCAAAAATCTTGCTGGTCTCTAAGGTGCTGCTGGAGTCTAGCTCTTCTATTGCAGACCAACACGGCTATCCCTTGAAACGATCTGCAGCGAATCATCCACTGTCTCCTTTCCTGAACTGTACCGAATACAAGTGGGGATTACATGTGCAACTGAAATGTTTCGTGTGGGGGAAGGAGCATCCCCGCACACAGAAATGTATCCGACCAGGGAGACAGCTAGCACTTGTACATAGCACCTGTTCCTGCAAAGGAAATAGCTACACATTTTATTTCCACCTGCGCTCTGACTGGCTACACAAATTAGAGCAGACGTAAACGTTGCTGCTACCGCTGTAAAATGGGGACACAAAAGAAGATTAGGACTATAAAAGCACTTCTTTGCTTACAATAAATTGCATTACTGTAGCCCCTCCCCCTATTTGCATCAAAATAGTAATACTTATTGGAGAATTGTTGCTGTCCTTTGAGAGAAATGGGCTGGAGTTTACCAAATATTACCCGCTCCCACAAAAAAAATAAAAGAAATATTAATATCTGTTTCCAAATTATTCCATCGTCAGGCACTGACAAGGAGAGGCCTCGCAATAATGGGTTTAAATTAAGGACAAGAAGGTACTGGCTGGATCTTAGGAAAACTTTTTGACAGTCAATTGTGCCACAGTGGAATGGGCTGCCTAGGGAGGTGGGGAGCTCACCCTCACTGGCAGTCTATAAGCAGCAGCTGGACAAACACTTGTCAGGGGTGCTCTAGGCTGAACCTGCATTGAGCAGGGGTTGAACTAGATAGCCTGTATGGCCCCTTCCAACCCTGTCAATCTATGATTCTATGATTTTCCCCAAACATTAATGCTTCCAAACTGCCTGAAAGCAGGATGCTTTAAGACCCAATACCCCTAACTATACCTAGAGCCAGTTTGGTGTACTGGTTAAGTGTGCGGACCCAAATCTGGGAGAACCGGGTTTGATTCCCCACTCCTCCACTTGCAGCCAGTTGGGTGACCTTGGGCAAGCCATAGTTCTGAGAAGAGCTGTCCTTGAAAAAGAGCAGTTTCTGTCAGAGCTCTCTTAGCCCCACCTACCTCACAGCCAGTATTCCCTCTGAGTTAGTGTGAGCTAGCACACAGTCTTTTAGCTTCCGGCTCACAGATTTTTGTCTCCACTCAGGAAGGAAGGCTCCAGAGCAAACCAATTTACGCAGCAGCCAAATTGCTCGCTCATAACTTTAATACCAGTAGCTCACAAAGTAGCATTTTTGCTCACGAGACTCCACAGCTTAGAGGGAACATTGCTCACAGGGTGTCTGTTGTGGGGAGGGGAAGGAGATTGTAAGCCACTCTGAGACAGATTTGGGTAGTGAAGGGCGGGGTATAAATCCAAACTCTTCTTCTTCTTCTAACACTAAACTGGATGGCTCACCCCCAGTCACACAAGCTGCACAAACAGCTCTGCCCCCCACAGATACAGTAAAGGGTTTATTTCTGCATACCCAAGAGAAAGTCCCTAAATCGACAGAAAAAATTACTTTGTCAATTAATCAAATCAAAAAGAAAACAGGGCCTGATGAGGACTGAGAATGATCCGAGAAGCGTGGATGCTAAGCGTCAATGAAAGGAGGGAAAGACAGACGGTGAAAGCTTCTAGAATCTTGGAGGGGAGAGCCGGATATCGAGGATAACTGGGGGAGGGGGGGATTCTCAAACTGGTTTGAACTTCCACTGAAGAGCATTTAAGGTCCAACCCTGGTAAAAATCTGTCGCTTTGGAGCATTTCATGTCAGCTGGCGGGCAAAGTGTCACTACGGAAACACACTGAAATTTCATTTGTATTTGGCTGTAGTCGATTTATGTTTGGCTCTTTAGCATCATTAAGAACAGCCACTGGGGATGAAGGCACACACCTAAGGATGGAGAGGAAGGCTTCAACTGCCAAGGGGAGTGGTATGATACAGGCCCATGTGCCAGAAAGGAAATAACATATCCCGACAACGTTCCCACTGGTTTCATTGGGGAATGCTTTTTCCACAGCACCTCCCAAAGTTCTGTGAACCAAAAACGGGTCACGGACAAGAAGAAGAGTTGGGTTTGATACCCCGCTTTCCTCTACCTTAAAGGAGTTTCAAAGCGGCTTCCAATCGCCTTCCCTTCCTCTCCCCAGAACAAGAACCCTGTGAGGCAAGTGGGGCCGAGAGAGCTCTGAGAGAACTGGGACTGGCCCAAGGTCACCCAGTAGGCCTCATGTGTCTCAAAGCAGCTTACAATCGCCTCCCCTTCCTCTCCCCACAACAGGCACCTTGTGAGGCAGGTGGGGCTAAGAGAGCTCTGAGAGAACAGGGACTGGCCTAAGGTCACCCGGCAGGCTTCATGGGGAGGAGGAACTGGGAATCAAACCTGGTTCTCAAGATTAAAGAAAAGATTTGACTCTGTTCTGAAAACTCAAGAATTCCTAAGGGTTCAGCTGGGAAGGCCAGGGGACGGGAAAAAAGAAGAGGACAGCAAGTCCAGCTGCGAGCTAGACACTGGTTCTTCCGGAGAGGACTCTCTGTCAGAGCAAGGGGCAGCAGCCCCAAAAAGTCCTTATAAGTTGCGGAAGAGAAGGGGAAAGGAGAAGTAAAGGCTGAAGGACTCTGAAATGTACCTCTGAGACTTTTGTTATGGGATGATTGGGGATACTGTTTCTAGACAGTTAAAGCTAAGCTTTAAAGGAAAAGTGCTATAAATGTTTGACTCAGTTTATAAAGGGATCAATGATGAGAAGACTTGATGTAACCAGAGGTCATCCCGGGGGATCGCAGTTCCCCCGGGTGAGGTACGGGGGGCGGGGCACATGACGAAGCCCCACCGCCGCCCCGCTTCCAGCCCTCATTCAGCCAGGAGGAGGCAGGAGAAGAGGGAGGGTAAGTTGCTTCCTCCCTGCCTCTCCCCACCCCTGCCTGCCTGGGGCCAGGGAGGGCCTTCGCGAGGCTTCCTCGCACTCCCGCTGGCCTTGCAGGTCCACCGCCGGGCCCCTCATGGGACCATTGGGGGCGGGGTCTGTGGCCTTATGACACACTTCCGGTGATGTCAGAGGGTGTGGCATATGCTAATGAGTTATGCTAATGAGTTCCCCTAGCTCTTTTTCTACGAAACGACCCCTGGATGTAACTAAGCTAGTTGGAGGATCTCCTCTCTTGGGCTTTTAGTTAATAGTGGGTTCTATTCTTTATCCTGTATATGTAGTTTCCCCTCCCTTATTTTTCTGTTGTAGTGTTTGCAGTACAAAAAAATAATAAAAAATCCCCTCCGGGGGCTCAAAAAAGAAGAAGATTAAAGTCAGCTGCTCTTGACCGCTACACCCTGCTGGCTCTATTCCTGACCTATTGAAAGAGATCCCCTGGGCATCCTCTTCCCTTTCCATTTCCCAAAAGAGATGCATGGCTACACACTTTAGGCCTTTTTGAAATGGATTTTCGTCTGCTGGTAATTTTTAGGATTCTGGAAACTACAGGTGGCATTTTTGTTTCGTCAGCAATGCGTACAGCATTAACCTGTTGCAGCTGCCATTGCAATTTTTAACTTTTCTATTTTGAAAGTTGCTTTGAGCATAAGCAGAGGCAGGGGGGTAATTTGTAAATAAGAGTACGTTCTGGTCGCACATCCCTGGAATGAAAATGCGGTTTTCATCCCACTTCATTCTGTTACTAACAACAAGAAATTTATTAATGCGTTCTTCTCACAAGTGCTATTTGATAAAATAAAAGATGCTATTTTAAAAACATGGACAAAAATACAAGTGTTAATTAATCTCATGCACACTCCCAACCTGGAATATGGTGATATTAAAGGCTGATATCTTTTACAGGGTTGCCATAAGGATGACAAAAATAATGTTTATGAATCACCAGTGCTTGAAACGTACTTTGTAGTAAGTTTTACTGATATAATTACCCTCAATCCCCTTCGCCGGATGAGGAAACTAGGGAAGGAACATGTCCCTGAATAATCCTAAACACTGAAGGTGAACCAAGCTGAATCGTTAAGAGAAGCCCATCCACCAGTTTGGTGTAGTGGTTAAATGCATGGACTCTAATCTGGGAGAACCGGGTTTGATTCCCCACTCCTCCACTTGCACCTGCTGATGTGACCTTGGGTCAGTCACAAGCTCTAGCACAGCTGTCCCTGAAAAAGAGCAGTTTGTGTCAGAGTTCTCTCAGCCCCACCCACCTCACAGGGTGTCTGTTGTGGGGAGGGGAAGGGAGGTTGTAAGCCGCTCTGAGACTCCGAGTGAAGGGTGGGGTATAAATCCAATCTCTTCTTCTTTCTTCTTCACGTGTATGTTCTGTTCCTGAGAGCCAGTTTGGTGTAGTGGTTAGGAGCACAGACTCTAATCTGGGAGAACCGGGTTTGATTCCCCACTCCTCCACATGCAGCTACTGGTGTGAGCTTGGGTCAGTCACAAGTTCTCCCAGAGCTGTTGAAGAAGAGAAGGAGATTGGATTTATACCCCACCCTTCACTCAAGAGTCTCAGAGCGGCTTGACGTGTCCTTCCCTTCCTCTCTTGCCAACAGACACCCTGTGAGGTAGGTGGGACCGAGAGAGCTCTGACTGAGAACTGCTCTTGAGAGAACAGCTCTGAGAGAACTGTGGCTTGTCCAGGATCACCCAGCAACTGCATGTGAAGGAGTGGGGAATCAAACCCGGTTCTACCAGATTAGAGTCCGCGCTCCTTATCACTACACCAAACTGGCTCTCAAGAGCTGTCCTCAAAAGAGCTCTCTCAGCCCCACCTACCTCACAGGGTGTCTGTTGTGGGGAGGGGAAGGGAAAGGAAAGGAGGTTGTAAACCACTCTGAGACTCCTTCGGGTAGTGAAGAGTAGGGTATAAATCCAATCTCCTCTTCTTCATATGTGCTGTAAATTTAGCTCAGTGGTAGAGCCTCTGCTTGGCACGCAGAAGGTCCCAGGTTCAATCCCCAGCAACTCCAGTTAAAAGGACCTGGTAGTAGGTGATGTGAAAGATTTCTGCCTGAGACCCTGGAGAGCTGCTGCCAGACGGGGTAAACACTGCAGGCCTTGAAGGACAAAATGGTCTGATTCAATAGAATGCACCTTCACATGTATACATGTATGCAACCTGGGATCCACTAAGACCCTCCACCCACTCAGGGGAAGACCTCCTCCTTGGCAGAAGGAAGGCAGTGGACCCAATCCACAGGTGTCCAGGGATGTCTCCATGTGCATTCATTTCTTGGATGCTATCTATGGGATAAGCATCAAAAACCCAACAAAGACAAAAACCCCTCCTTACTTGGATTTGTTGTACTCAAACTCAATATGGAGGCAATCTTCGATCCCCACCTCCATCTTGATGGAGGAGTTGAGTTCTGGGTAGGTGCTCAGCGTGTGCACAACAATGTCCATCTCCTTCACCACGTCATTCAGTCGGCGGCTGATGGTGGCCCGAAGGAAGTACCTGCAAAGGAGGGAGAAACTGAAGCACCCACTTTGGATATCTGTCTGATAGCTCTATGAGTCAGGGAGCAATTTTTTTCTAGGCGTTTTGGCCAGGGAACCTGGAGGTTTTATTGCCATTTTCTGGGCATGGAACAGGGGTCACTGGGGGTGTGTGCGGGGAAAAGGTATTTGTGAATTCCCTGCATTGTGCATGGGGTTGGACTAGATGACCCTGTAGGTCCCTTCCAAGACGCGGGGTTTCAACCGGCATAAAGTGTACCGGTTGGAACCGGTGCAGTTTATGCCGGCTGAAACGCGATCACACTTACCTCCCTCACAGCGGAGCCCATCGCTGTATGCCCGTTCACATGCTGCGGGTGTCGGCTTTTTTTTTTTAACTCAATTTGAGCATTCGCATAGGCAGCCATCCACAGAATGGCGATCTTTGCGCATGCTCAAAACACCCCGTATTACATTTAAAGTTTAAAGGTAAGGACTTACCTTTAAAGTTTAAAGCCCAAACTGGGCTCCCTGAAGCCCCGGACTCCTCCGGAAAGTTAAACTAAGGGCCTTTCCTTTTTTAAAAAAAAAAAAACGCTGGGGCGAAGCTTCGCCCAAGCGCATATCGGCAACCTAACAAAAAAAAAATGGCGGGCGAAAATCGGAAGCCTCGGGCTTCCGAATGGAAGTGGCTCTGGAACGGTGGAGAGCGATCAGACGGGGGTACAGCGATTACAACCGTTGTACTCAGGATACCACCACTTGGGGACCTAGTGGCAGAGTACAATGGTGTAAAGGGCTTTGCTACGGTTAGGGACGGAAGGCAGATGTTCTACGTGTGAACGCCGGTAAGTACACCGATTGCAACCGGCACCTATACCGTTGCAAACGCCGCGTCTGAACACACCCAGTGAGTGTGAAACAGACTGTTTCAGTAAGCGTATCTGGTATCAGGGAGCCAGGCAGAATTCCTTGCAAGGTTTGGACACCCACTTTTGAACAGATCTTCATGTCTTTGCAACTGTGAAAGAAACCCTAAGCAGGTCTACTCAGAAGTATGTCCTCAATGGGGCTTACTCCCGGGAAAGCATCTGTAGGACTACAGCCTGTGTCACTGGAAAGCTAAGGAGGGGAAAGTAATATACTGCGTTCAAAATATCTGCAAACTTTTCCTTAGAAGAACACCCTGAAAATGGCACCTCATTGTCAAGCCTAAAGTTCGAGTTTTCTAAAAATTCTAGATCCCTACTTTAGTGGGACTTCATTGCTGGAAATTAAAAAAAAACCCTGGTATGCTAATAAAACAGAGAGCCACAGTGCTATAGTGGCAAAAAGTGTTGGACTAGTATCTGAGAGACACGGGTTCAAATCCTCATTCGTGTAATGGAAGTGGCTGAAACGGACACTTGGAAAGGAACTCTTGGTTCTCTCCGCATCTGCTGCATATATAGCTTTTTTTGTTTTCGTATTTTTGCATTTGTGTGTGTGTGTCCCCGTGCCCAGAAGTCATGGCGACCTCTGGAGGCTCCTACTGGGGCGTGCAGGATGTTCAGAGAGGTGGCTTGAGATGGTCTGCCTCTGCTTCCCGGTCCTGGTATTCTCTGGAGGTCTCCCACCCAAATACTTGCCAGGGTCGGCCCTGCTTAGTTTCCGAGATCTGACGAGATTGGACTTGCCTGGGCTGTCCAGGTTAGGGCCTGCACATATAGCTTTTTTTTTGGGGGGGGGACCTTTCACACTCTCTCAGACTAACCTACCTCACAGGGTTGTTGTGAGGAGGAGAGAATGGTGCAAGCTGCTTTGGGTCTCCATGGGGGAGGAAGGCAGAGTATAAATGGATTAAATAAGTCACTCCTCTACCCACCCCCCCAACCCTCAACATGCACCTCACCTTAGTTTCACATTCTGCCCAGTATAGGACTCATACGGTTTCTCCACATGCGTGAATTCGAAGTCAAACGTCTGCGACTGGGTGAACTCCCCAGGGCGGGCCAAGTCCTTCACCAGGGAGACAAATTCATGGTGGTTCCCTCGGTCATAATATAGCTCTGGAAGCGAAAAACAAAAAGCGGCTCAGTAACAAAAGTGCCTGCCCTCCAACTGCCATTTTAACTGCTCCAGCGTCTCTCCCTCAAGGGGATTCTGGGGATGGTCACTAGGAATCGCTCACGGACACAGTTCATTTCCCTTCGCAAAACACATTTCTTGAGAACGTGCTAAAGACGTTTGTCTAGAGGTGTCCATCGCCTGCTGAAGAGGCAACCCACTTTTCAGACTGATTACAGAAGAGAAACAGGGAAGCAGTTGCTATATTTGTAGTATGAATGGGAATATAAAGATTTTTATATATAGGCAGGGCTATTTTTGGGCAGGAACGCACAGGAACGAAGTTCCGGCTGGCTCCCGATTTGGCCACGCCCAGCAGGAACTCATTAGCATAATAGGCCACACCCAACAGCAGAAACTCATTAGGATTGGCTACATTAGGGGTGTGTGGCCTAACATGCAAAGGAGTTCCTGCTCCAAAAAAAGCCCTGGGTTTTGACAACAAACAAGGTAAACAGAATAAGAAGCAAAAGGTGGGTGTGGCTGGATGACCACACTTCTGGTAACATGGGGGTGCGGCCTAATGTGCTAATGAGCTGTGCTGTCATGGGTGTGGCCTAATATGCTAATGAGTGTCTGCTGTTGGGTGTGGCCTATTATGCTAATGAGTTCCTGCTGGGCTTTTTCTACAAAAAGAGCCCTGTATAGGTTTTTTTCTTCTTGATTGTTCATATTCATATTTCTCTGGTTTTTATAGATTTATTCTTTAAGTAATATTTTATTAGGATGTTAGAAAGGCCTGTTATATAGAAGGCTTTCCTCTTGTAGGTCTGATATTGTTAGCGGACAACATAATAGGTACAAAGTTCATGATTCTGTAGTTCTTAGGGCAAACCTTTCAATGTCTGGGTCAGATAAGATTTTAGTCTCGTATCAGTAATGAATACTTTTGTTTGGGATATGAAGATTCCTTGCCCATTATCATTTAGGTCAGGTTAAGTAAACACTTGGTTTGTTGTAGATATATGTTTCTTTATATCTGGCCAATTAGAGGATTATTACTCAAATTACCACTGTCTTTTGTAACCAATTATGCTGTTTGAATATTGTTTTCTTGATGATGTCAGTCCATGTATAAAATATCATGTATTTCCTGAATATGTTCAGAATATGTTCAAGGAGAAGATGAAGAAGAAAAAGAAGAAAGTTGTCAATTTTTGATTACTTACTTGGTCCAATTGTTTTCCTGTTAATTGAAGCATATTCCCTAAATATGCTGAGTAGTCAATTTTGGATGGACTATTTGGTCCAATTGTTTTTCGGTTAACTGAAATAAAACATAGATCTTCCTCCTCATTTGACTTCATTTTTGACATGGAATCTAATATGTACAAAATATTCAAGCAGGAGAAGCGGCTAAAATGGAAACTTGAGAAGAGTCTCTTAGTCCCCCCCCCACACACACACACTTATTTGGAATGGAGCTGCAAATGCGGCAGTACAGTTCATTCAGAATCCTTTCATGGATAGGTCATCATGAGGTATGAAAATCGATAAAGCCTGCACAGAATAAGAGCAGAGCGTTGGCATAGCTCTTTCGTGACTGAAAGGCCTTCTCCTACATTCTCACTGTATTCTTGTAAGCTTCACAACAGTCTTGTAACGCAGGCCGCTGTTATGAACCCCATATCACAGGTGACGGACTGAGGCAGAGCGAGCGTGGTTTGCTAAAGGTCACCCCCTGAGTGTGGACTGAGGCGAGATACGAACCAGCAGCCTCACAGACCACGGCTCATTCCCTCAGCTCTGCCAGCTCTGTAAAAAGGAAATTGAGAATACAGTTCTTTTTCATTAAGGACAACCAGGGGTCATTTCCTGCAGGAGCGCACAGGAGCGGAGCTCCGGCAGTAAAGAGCCCAGGGGGCGGGCACATGCAACAAGCCCCGCCCCCTGCTTCCAGCAGCCCCAGGCCACAAGGAGCAAGAAGCAGCCAAGTTGCAGAGCCCCCCCCCCATAGCAATCCAAAACAGTCCAGTGGCACCTTTAAGGCCAAGGTTTATTCAGGTACAAGCTCTCCCTCTTCTGTGAGGGCAGATCTGCGTGTCCCCCCCCCCATAGCTAGCAATCCAAAAGAGTCCAGTGGAGCCTGAGCGGTGGGTGTTGCCCTCTGACACATGTCCGTTGATGTCAGGGGGTGTGTATGCAAATAAGTTATGCTAATATGTTATGCTACTGAGCTCCTGCACCTCTTTTTCTACAAAATGACCCCTGAGGACAACAAAACCGAAATCTTAACAATGGGTCACGCCATGAAACAATTCTGGAGGGTAAGGCTTAGTAAAAATGAATCCATCCCCACGAATCCGGAGAGAAAAAGGAAAGCACTACCTTCATTTCATAAAGAGAAGGCAAGTTCTGAATGACAATCTCATTAAATCATTTCCCTAAGGTCACAGAAGTCAGTTGGTGGCACAAAAGACTGTGTGGTGTAGTGGTCAGAGTGTCAGACTAAAACCCGAGGGACCCATTTTATTCCCCATTCTACCACAGGAGCTCACTGGGTGACCTTGGGACAGACAATCACTATCTTCCTAACCCATCTCATACAGTTGCTGTGAGGATAAAATGAGGAAGGAAGAACGATGCACATCATCCTGCGCTCCTTAGAGCAAGAATGGGCTAAATATATGGTAAGAGGGAACTAAATTTCAAGCCATGTTTTCCAAGGCAAACAGTCCAGGGCTCTTTTTGTAGAAAAAGCCCAGCAGGAACTCATTAGCATAATAGGCCACACCCAACAGCAGGAACTCATTAGTATATTGGGCCACACCCCTGACAGCACAGCTTATTAGCACATTAGGCCACACCCCCAGGTTACCAGAAGTGTGGTTATCCAGCCACACCCACCTTTTGCTTGTTATTCTGTTTACCTTTTTTGTAGCAGGAACACCTTTGCTTGTTAGGCCACACACCCCTAATGTAGCCAATCCTAATGAGTTTCTGCTGTTGGGTGTGGCCTATTATGCTAATGAGTTCCTGCTGGGCGTGGCCAACTTGGGAGCCAGCCGGAACTCCGTTCCTGTGCGTTCCTGCCCAAAGATAGCCCTGTTTAACTCTAAAAATCAAAAGGAGGGATGTGGCTCAGTGGGAGAGCATCTGCTCGGAATGGAGGAGGTCCCAGGTTCGATTCCCAGCATCTCCAGTTAAGGATCAGGTAGTAGGTGATAGCCTTGACTTGGATGGCCGAGGCAAGCCCAATCTCGTCAGATCTTGGAAGCTAAGTAGGGGTGGCTCTGGTTAGTACTCGGATGGGAGACCACCAAGGAATACCAGGGTCTGTAAGGCAAAGATGTTTCACCAGGCATTTGGTTGAGGTCAGCGACGTTTACAGCCTTCTGGCACATCCCTCCCTGTGAGACAATGGCACTACTGAAATTCTTAGCATCATATTTTTAGGTACGTAAGAATTTTACCATGGATTTTACCTCCCCTTGGCAGGTAATCTAGTCAAATAAATAAATACTTCCGACTCCAGAGGGCCAGAGCCATATATGAGCAGAATACACAGACCTTGATGGACCAACAGTCTGATTCAGGGGCTATCAGAAGCCAGAACAGCACATAATGACCACTGGAATAGATAGAATTTGGGGATTTTTACACACACAGCAGCCAGGGACCAGGCAAGACGTGGTCTGTGTGCCGTCTTCCCAGACATTTTCATGTGGCTGGAAAGCGCTTGTTAGATTGGGAAAGTGGATTCCAGTAGCCATTTAAAAGACGACCACCTAAGTTTCTAGTCCTTGTGAGTCACCAAAGCAAATATGAAAAGTAACAACACGACGATACTCGGCCCTTTTCAAAATCCGAAGGAATACACGCTCTCACAGAATTATACACTATTACATTAAGATTTCTAATCACAAATTTTTTTGTGCGATTTTGAACGTGTGAAGTTCAGCAACACCAAACTCCTCACAGCAAGTTTGAGTTTCAAATTCTGTCGCTTTCCTCTGGGACAGTGCGGGCTTTCAGCAATGAACAAGTGTCCGTATTTGGTCTTCTGCTCTTGTTAGAAATCAACAGATGTTACTTCACCAGCTGCGCAAACCAAAATTGCCTCAGGAAAGCAATATCACTCAGAGGCCAGGCTCAGCCCAGGATCTTTAGCGCCACTAAACATCACACAGTCAAAAATGCAAGACTGGTGTGTGGGATTAGAAGGTACGCCCAACGGCCCATAGCCTCTTCCTGCCAGCATAGCACATTTTAACCATTCATCCACTGCTGAACAAGGACACAACAGTACCATCGAATGACACCCCCTCCCCCGCAACCAAAAAATTAAGACATAAAAACAGCTCTGCAGGCAAGACAACTTCATTTCTCTAGCTACATTTTATGATCTAAGCATAAGGTAAAGGTTCCCTTGCTCGAAAGCCAGTCGAATCCGACTCTAGGGTTGCGGTGCTCATCTCAGTTTCCAAGCCGAAGAGCCAGCGCTGTCCGAAGATGTTTCCGTGATCATGTGGCCGGCATGACTAAACACCAAGGCGCAAGGAACGCTGTTACCTTCCCACTGAAGTGGTACCTATTTATCTACTTGCAATGTCTTGCTTCCAAACTGCTACGTTGGCAGGCTCTAAGCATACCACACACAAAACTTAGGCATACATTCAACGACACCCCTGTGTGTAATGGTCATCAGCCAATTCCTGAATCTTAGGTCTAATTCCTGTTAGTTTTAAAAAGGCAGGAAGGGTGAGAGTAGGGTTGCCAACCTACAGGTAGTGGCTGCCTCCCCTTGGCAGGTAATCTAGTCAAATAAATAAATACTTCCGACTCCAGAGGGCCAGAGCCATATATGAGCAGAATACACAGACCTTGATGGACCAACAGTCTGATTCAGGGGCTATCAGAAGCCAGAACAGCACATAATGACCACTGGAATAGATAGAATTTGGGGATTTTTACACACACAGCAGCCAGGGACCAGGCAAGA